CGAGTTTCTTTTGGGATGCTGTTGAAAAGTGGTGTCCGACTTGGTACTATGCAACACCAACCATGCACCATATGATATTGGCCGAAGCAGAAAGCTGTCAGGAATCAGTTCACCAAAGCTCCATCAAATTCATCTGCAATGCCGGCGGGGGCCTTCCTCCAACTCTTGCAGAGCAGCTTCATTCTACCTTCGGTTGTGTTATTTTACCAAGTTACGGGATGACAGAATGTGCTCCTATTGCAGCACCACCTCTGGACTACGACCTCACCCGAGTGGGGACATCTGGCCTCCCAGCAGGCCCTGACATAGCCATTATGGATATATCACGAGCGTCCCGCGTCCCCATTGGTACAACAGGAAGGATTTGTGTGAGGGGCCTTCCGGTCTTCAATGGGTATCTAACGCCCGCTGGTATAGATACAAGCGCTTTTGATGCAGCTGGGTGGTTCGACACTGGCGACCTTGGACGCATGGATGAAGCAGGGTATCTCTATATTACTGGGAGAAGCAAAGAAGTTATTAACCGTGGAGGAGAGATAATTTCCCCCCTGGAGGTCGAAGATGCCATCATATCAGCCTCAAAGGACCCCTCCTCCGCCATTTTTGGTCGGGTTGCAGAAACCATGGCATTCTCTACACCCCATGACGTACTACAGGAAGTTGTTGGTGCTGTGATCGTGACCCCTGCAGGGTGCAAAAGACCTGATCTCCGACAAATACATGAAGCGCTCAAAGACCGCCTGGACCAACCCAAGCGGCCCGCAGTTCTGGTCTATATGGATAACGTCCCAAAGGCTCACAACAAACTACGTCGCATACAACTCAGTCGTCGATTAGGAATGAAGACGCTTACAGACGATACCTTGCCATCCGACTGTCACTACGAAGCAATGTGCCCTCCACCCGAAACCCCTTTGGATGTCTTAATTGGCCAAAGAAGATGTGTTATCCAGCCTGATGTGGTGGAAGCACATCTTACTGAGATCGCTGGGATATCGGATGTTCTGATCCGGACCAACCTAGTAGACGGATACCTTCAGGCTATCTTGTTTAATGCCATTCAGGATCAACTATCTGCTGATAATATATATGCACGCCTTCGCATTCTCGTTGACGGATACCTTGTTCCTAGTAGTATTAGGATCATTAATGGGCGACCACCAGTGGATTCTAGAGGCAAAATAGATGAAGCTGCCGTACTTGCCTCACTTCACCCTCAGTCGCAGTCTTCAACCTCACGTATTGAACGACGGGTTTGCGATCTCTTTGCCAGTGCACTGCGACTAACACCGGGGGATGTCGGGACTTCCACAGACTTCTTTCTAGCTGGTGGGGATAGCCTGACAGCTGGACGTCTTGTCTCTCGCATTCGACAAGAATTTAGTATTCGACTTGCCAGTGATGTACTATTTCGGCACAGTACAGTCTCGGAAATAAGTATCGTCATCGAAGAGGCTATGGTCCAGCCGAAGGTCGAAAAGGCAAAGTCTGAAGATCTCCCTGGTTGCCGGGAGACGTACAGCTCTACAAATCCAGCCATTCTTCTGCTCAACTTAATACCCTTGGGTGTATTTTCCCCAATACTGCAGACGTTGCGATGGTCCATATTTGTGTATTTTCTAATTCAAGCATTCCGCTGGCAAATCCGAGATTCCGTTGTTGGGCGACTTTTCCTCATCCTTATGGCTGGGGTGCTATCTCGACAAGTGATACATGTCTTCTCTCCTCTCCTGGGAATTGCATTCAAATGGCTACTCATAGGTCGATACCGGGCTGGGATATACCCCATGTGGGGACCTTATCATTCTCGGTGGTGGTTGACACAAAAAGTACTCCAAGTGTGTGGGATGGTAAGTCGCCCTGATATTATTGATGTGTGTATGCTGAGCAGTTTATGGGCATGCACTGACTATGTAAACATCATTAGGGTGTCTTCGACCGCTTCGGCTTTACCCGAGTCCTATATTACCGTGCTCTTGGAGCACGCATTGGCCGCAACGTTCGCATCCATCCGCATGCCTCCCTAGGGGAGTACGACCTAATTGAAATTGGTGATGATGTCGTGCTGGATAACTGCTCGTGTCGCCCCTTCTCCGCAGAAAGAAATACATCTATGCTTTTACAACCAATTCGCATTGGGCGGGACTGTACTGTGGGCCTCAATGCAGTCATTGCCTCCGGCACAGACCTCCCGTCTGGGACTTGTTTAGGGCCAAATACGTCTAGCTGGGAAATGGAGGACGCGCAGGAGTCAAACCGTGAGCTAGTCTCTGCACAGATCCCACAACCACATTGGATTTGGTACGTCTTAGTTGTGGTACCGCTGTCGGTGCTAGTATCATTCATCTCTCGATTTCCGGCAATAGTGGCATTTTTACCCGTGGTGATGAGGTACCGACATGCCCAAACTGACATGCTCCATCATCAACTCCTCTGGTTTGTGAGCCCATCACGGATTGGGTATTATACTTTGGTGATACTCTCTGGGTCTGTTGTCGGTCCGTTCGCTTGGTTTTTTGCAGTATGCCTTGTCAAGCTGGGGTTGGATTTAATCTGTGGTCGACCGAGGCCTGGTCCATGCAATCAGCTTACCCAGCGGCAAAAAATCCGAAGCGCCGTGTTGGATTCCATTCTCCCGCGAGGAGACATCTCACGGCTGACTCGGATTATAGGAACGCACTATGAACTCGTCTCTATTGCAGTGAGAATGCTTGGCGGGCGTGTCGGCAAACGAGTTTACTGGCCAGGCACTGGAATTACAATGGTCCAGGATTACGATCTTCTAGAGATTGGCAATGATGTTGTATTCGGATCCCGATCTACTTTTGTTACATCCGACGGGATAGGAAGAGATCGCATAGTCATTGGGGATGGGGCATTTGTGGGAGACCATGTTGTTGCTCTTCCTGGAGTTACTGTTGGAAAAAGCACCACGGTTGGATCAGGGGCGCTTCTACGTCGGAACGGTTCATACCCAGACAATACAACCTGGACTGGAAGTAAGCATGGAGATGCCATACAATTTCCCCAGAATACCTCTCCCCGAAACCACAGCCAAGAAAGCCTGGAGAAACTAGATCTAAAAAATGATGACAATGACACAATAACGCCGTTTGGACGAGCCTTTTATAAAGGACAAGCAGACTACTATGTGCTCGGTATCGGAGCCATTGTTGCATACTCTACTCTGGCTGCAGCCATCGGCGCGGTGTACTCCGCTTCCAGTATCCTTACGGGTTTACTAGTGGTTTCTCGACTCGTACGGATGGGTCATACGATGCCTGGACTACATTGGTGGAGACCATTCATATTTTACGCAGCATTCACTGCAGTTGTAGGAGCAGTGACTCTTATGCAGAGCGCTGCAGCCTTGGGAATCAAAATAGCGGCGAAGTGGATAATTCTCGGACGGCGACAGGAAGGCTTCTACCCGTGGGACCGAAGCAGCTACTGCCAGCGCTGGCAGATTCTGCTCACTATCGAGCGGATTTTTACAGGGTATCCTAGACGGATTAATACGATGGTTTTGCTGACCGGGACGGCATATATGGTCCAGTATTACCGAGCACTGGGTGCCACTATAGGCGCTGACTGTGCATTAGCAGCCAGCGGTGAAGCCGACCTATTGATGACAGAGCCCGACCTCGTAACTCTAGGGAGTAGAGTGACGATTGACCATGCTAGTTTGGTGGGACATCTGAATACGAGGGGAGAATTCGAGCTTCATCGATTGCAGGTAGGAAGCCGCAGTGTGCTCCGAACTAAGTCAAGATTGTTGTCGGGAGCGTCGGTCGGTGAAGATGCGTGCTTGTTGGAGCACACATTGGTTCTGTCAGGAGACCATATAGATGACGGGTGTACGGTTCAGGGCTGGCCCGCTGAGCCCTTCATGGAGTCGCGGGTAGGGTATTCCTTTCAATTGCCATAATTTAAGCAGAATGGGTGGCTCGATCAAAAAGGAGGATATAGAATTATAGATATATAAATGAATACTGTAATATAGCTCACAAAGCTTAGGATGGAAATACACTAGACAAAATTATCGCTTGTTTATGGTAACGCAGTACGGGGAGGAGTCGTTCAGTCTGGTCGTCTAGGAATAAACCTGAACTGTCGAAACAACCAGGTGTAAATGGCATCCTTCAGCTGGAGGGTTTGGCATATTTCAGCACGACACTAAACCAATGCATACGGCTTTGCGCACGCCATTCCGCAGTGTAGATTCATAAGTATCCCCTTAAATCAAGTTTCGGTAAGCGCCATCGTTTGGTTAGCTATGTGCACAACGAGGCGCAACCTCCGAGGCCAATCAAAACCAGCAGACAGCAATCCAAACTCTTGTCACGGCCGTCTCCTTTGAAGCTTGGTGCAATGGAAAAGAAGGCCATCGACCCAAAGACAGGCGGTATCATTAGAACCAAACCTTGGCTCCGCTGGCTGTGGTGCACTCAGCCTCTCTATGCAGGTTATTGGCCTGGATCGTATTCTGTCAGTGGCTCGCCCAAGGTCTGGTAAACTAAGAGCGACACCAAACCTGTAAACATACATAGCAGTCCCAGCAGACGTAAAGCGTCCGGAGTAACTCCATGGTTGAAATGCGGCCATCAACTCCGTCTGCTGGATGGAGAGGTGATGCTTGCTGTTGCTGCCATAGTAGTAGTTAGTAGTGGTGGTGTTGAAGCTGAGGTTGAAGTTGAAGCTGAACTTGGAAGAAAGAAGAAAAAGAAAAGAAAGAGAAATAATCTGCGCAAGTGGTCGCTGTCGTCCGCCCGCCTAGTTATGACGCTTTTTTTGCTCTTTCGGCGCCAACAACTTCAGCTTCTTCGCTCTCACGCTCACGCTCACGCAGCCCTCAACCTTCACGCTCGCTCTCTGGCTCGACGTACAAGGACACGGCCCTGCGGTCATCTTCTTCACACGCGACAGAGGCCGTCACTGTTCTTTAGCGGGGACCCTGAAAGGGCTGTCTGGAAACGGCCTAAAGGAGCCTTACCGCTTCGTTCTCAGTGTTGTTTCAAGTTAGTTAAACCCCAGGCTCAGCTGTCCGTATCACCCCCCTGGCCCTGTCGGTTGCAGTTCTGGGGACTATCAGCTCTCCAGCAAACGGACGACCAGTCTGGGGCTCGCCCTTTGATATATCTGATAAGCAGGTCGTTTCGTGGTTGCCTGTATCGCTGACTATCCCGCTAGGTTCTAACCGCTTGCTACTGGGAGGCATCTGGACACCCTAGAAATGCTTCTCTGATCTGCGCTCAACTTTATAAAACCACCACCTTCTAGCCGATATGGGGCAGGCCAGTTCTTCGCAAAGAACATCTCCAGGAACTACGAACGACAGAGATCGGCCACGATACAGCTACGGCGGCGGCGGCGGCAGCAGCAGCAACAGCAGCAACGATACTAATAATAATGGCTTTCCAACCCCACCGACTTCTACACGCCAGAGAATGAGAAACAGCACGCATATTCCTTCTTGGGCACGCCCGCCGGACAACAGTCGACATGAACCGCGGAGCAACCCTTCGTGGGCTTCGGACGGCGCCCTGGAGGAGTTTCCAGCACCAGCCGGGTCTGTGACTCGAAGTAGCAGCGCCTCAGGCACCAGCAGACAGTCTCGGATGTCTCGTCTGGGTACGAGAATACTTCCAAACTCCGTCTTGAGAAACCTGCTTAATAGCGGGGAAGAGACTCCAGCTGAAGGAAGAGCACACCGAGATGGTCTCCTCTCCAGGAGCTCCCCAAGATCAGATTCACCCCAGCCTACACCACATCTTCCGTCATTCCGAACCCTTAGTACTCGGGGAATAGCGCGCAGGAGATCGATTCGCGGGCCGTATGCCCTTCCAAGAGGGGAGTCTGCTTTGTTGCCAGATTCTCCACCAAACCCAACTTTCTTAGAGAACCCGTCCAGCGCCAGAAATACGGACCCTTCCCGCCTTTCTTGGAGATATCGTGCAAGACTGAGTCATGTTCGACATTCAATATCCTCCCCGATATCATATATGTTCAACCAACACTCGACCCCAACACATCCCAACCAGTCGGCACCCCCCGCACCAACGCGACCCTCCCGTGCTGGGCTTTCTGATGATTCAGATCACCCACCCCACCTTCCCAGCAATACTGAAGCGAATATGGATGTTGATACGGATATTGATGAGGCTCATGAGCCTGATGATTCTAGTTCGAGTCCCAGGTCTGGCCCAATTCCAGTCCCTGGCTACCACACTAGCTCTCCTAACCAAAGGCATTCAACTATTCGATCTCGAGCAACAAGGCTACTAAGGAGAGAGGAGCAAACACCGCTCTCTCGCGTCCTACAGCTTGCTGCAACAGCCATTGCCGCCCAGCTTTCCGGAAATACAAATTTGGCGGTACCCAGCATTCAGTCCGTTGGCGCAGACGGTTTAGATGGACCCTTGGAATCTCTTATGAACGGCTTACAGCAAGTTTCAGCTAATCAGGAGACTATAAGTAATCTTGATGCGCCGCAAGATCCAAACGTTCCCCATGTGAACTTCTTGAGAGTCTTCAGATTTGTGAACCAGGACGGTCCTTCCACACAGCAGACCTCAGGTGAGGGAGGTGACGATAACGCCGATCAGATGGACATTGACGGGCAAGGCTCAACAGACGGGCATCAAGAACGGCGTTTGCTCACTTTGGTTGTTGTTGGTGTGCGAGCCGTACCACCCAGCAACGGAGCGGCAGGTGATACTACCACCAACAACCGACTTAATGTAGAGTCACTCCTCCGGTTGCCGCTTCTTGCCCCTGGTAATTTTCTACGCAACGATAGAGGCGGGGGTAACTTTCTGCGGCGTTCGGATGGCCGTTCAAGATTCTCCCCGCGACGTTATTCTGTTGGTGGCAGCACTTTCCCAGCAAATTACGACAGCCAGCGCCATTTTCGATCCCAAAACTCTTCTCGCCGGCCCTCTGATGTTGGGTCCTCGAGTGATCTAGCTAGCTCACTCCCAACTATTCTCTCCGACAGTCCCCAGGGCCCAAATCCGCCCCCGTCTACGCCAGCAGAAGCGGGTTTATCGAGGGTGTCATCTGCTGTCAACACACCAAGTAGACGGCCTTCATCTGCGTCGGCTATTCTTCCACAACTTAATGAGGACGGAACAGGAGAACCAGGAGATCCATTGGAAGAACACCCAATGGGCTTTAATCCTGCAAGACAGCGCCGTAGAAGCGACTCAGAAGCTGCTCGTCATCGTGGACTGGGTTCTGGTGCCGCACGAAGGAACGGAGTAGTGGAACCCGACGATCCTTCTCCCTCGGGGGGACGAAGCTGGCTAATCTACGTTGTTGGAACCAACTTAGCTGAGAACCACCCAGCATTTGCTGCGCCCAGCTTGTTTACAGATGTATGTGCACCCGCATAGCTCCCTTTGTTTTGTAAACAACCCAACCATAAACTAACTCGGAGTTCTAGAATCCCACATATGAGGACATGATACTACTGTCATCCTTACTAGGCCCAGCCAAACCCCCTGTCGCAACGCAGGACGAAATAACTTCCGCAGGCGGCCTATATCGTCTTGTAGAGTATTCCGGGGCTTTGGTTGCAGAAAGTATCGGCGAAGAAACCCAGGAGAGTGTTCCAATAGCAGAGAGTGATCGATGTCTCATATGCTTATGCGACTACGAGGCAGCCGAAGAAGTGAGGATATTGAATAAATGCAAGCATGTCTACCATCGCGAGTGCATTGATGAGGTACGTATTCATATACTAATACCATGAGGTCCAAAGCTAACATAAATTTTAACAGTGGCTTACAACAGGACGCAATTCTTGTCCTTTGTGCCGAGGTGAGGGTGTCTCTAACTCCAGTAATGATACCGGTAGCGAAGCGGTGCCAGCATCCTAGCTTTAACGCTATCCTTGAGACCCTTTTACCTATGCTACTCATCACGGCGGTTTTTCCGCTATTAATAACCTCTTACACTTTTACAAGAAAGAACCATATTTAATATCATGGCCTGGGGTCATGAATACACCAAATTCTATTCCACTTTGTATTCATTCATGCATTGACCACGGAAGATACGTTTCGGCGCCAACTTTTTTACCGTTGGCCTGTATCTATCTCATCCCTTGCTTTATTTCTTCCTTGCTGTTTTCCGCCCCTCCGCTTCTTGCATATTATTCCTATACGGTGCTGCCCTTGTTCCCTTTCTTAATATGTGAATGTGATACTCCTTTAGCCTCAAAGCCTGTTTCTGCCCATTCTGTTTTTCCTTTATCGCATGCTTTTTAACTAAAACTTGCTCTTTTGTTGCTTTCTTTTCTCATTCGGCCCTGCTGTATCTGGCGTTTCTTTGAGGGATCATCATACAGCAAAATGGATCGTGGGGATCTGGGATGGAGCTCATAATAATAAATCGGATCATGGTTGGGACTGGATGGATGGACTGGTGGGCTCATTTCTCAATGCGTTTTCTTCCCTTTTCAGTTCCTTTATGAGCGCCTTCATAGCTATATTTACACTTTATTTAGTTATGAAGTCACACATTACTCGATATATTTCTTACAATAGGTGACCACCAGGCGACAAGTAATTCTTAAAGGTATATAGGCTTGCTTGTCAATGAGTGGTATCTGTGTCTTTTTAAGTCATTTAGTATAATTAGGTTATATAATAATTTTCTATTAATGGATAATTGAGTGTCGACGTATATGCGGAATTAAAGAAATAAGACATGCTCCCATAATTAACAAGCGTTGAGTGGGTATATTTATATGGACATCATTGTAAAAAACCTCAATACTGCAATAGAAGAGCTCACCGATGTGACCGAAAATATTAAGAAATATTGAAACAAATCAATAATGCTAAACTCCGAACGCTGCTCGAACAGACCTAGTATAATGTAATGAGTCGACTCGCCGCAAATGCCAAAAATGATGGTCAGGGCCGGTATCAGGGTATTTGCCGCCTTAGAACTCCCATACCTCCAGCTCTCATGTCTTCAAGGCGGTCCTTGATGGAGTTTCCCTCAGCTTCAACAGCATCATGACGTCTCTTAATCTCTGCTTCAAAAATAGCAGCAAACTTCCGTCTAGTTTGGCGTGCTTCTTTGGATTTCTGCAACATTTGGCAAAATTGGTCAACCAGCAGGTCTCCACACTCTTCCCACTCCGACAGAGTCACGGAAGAAAAGAATGTGCGACGTTGGTCATCTGTTAAACTTTTCATGCGGAGGAGTTTATCTTTGAGGGATAGCTGTGCATCATGCTGAAACAGTGGCTGCACAGGAGTTGGGTTATAGTCAAAGCTTTCCGCCTGGAGATTTGAGTATGCTTTCGTTTCCAGAATATTAGGCGGGTAATCAGATATAAAATTTGAGTAAGGGCGTTTGGATGAAACGGCTGATACTGTGGAGAGATGGGGCGAATGCAGGGAGACGTGTTCTTCGTGACGGGCCATTTCTTCAAACCCATCATCGTCTGAGTAGTCCACGGCGCTGAGATCGGTTGCCGTATCAAAAGCTCCGCGGTTATGAGCCGACGACTGATCATCAACAGAATGTTGTACCTGTTGGCCCACCAAATTATCTTCACTAGGTTGGTGTTAGACATTATGTGACTGGATTGAACTGGCAAATCTATCGGAGCAAAAGACAATCACACTCACACTTCGTGGTTCAGTTCCTCGGCATGACCAGAATATGGGTCAGGCGCAGCAAAATGGGGCCTTGCTGCAAACCTATTTCTTGTTGATAGCCTCTGCGCTACAGGTCTATGGGTAATTTTAGGAACTTCAAAGTGGTTATTTTGCGGGGGTTGGGATGTCGCCGGGGCCTCGTTTTGATAGTGGTCTTTACCAATCGGTGGTTGATGAGGACGTTGGGGCATGGTATGAGAAATCCCTCCTCCATCCACATTCCTGTTCGGCGAAGAACTGTCCTCTCTTAGGATTGCTTCAATCTTTTGCCAGCTTAGCATTTCCCTCGTGGAATGGGCATTGTTGACCTCCCAGGAAGAGCCACGCTCTCGGCTGTCTTCTTCTGCCTGTTCTCTAAATTCATCTTGTTCCTGTTGTATTTTATAATGCTCGTTTCTCCCTTCTGCGCCTTCCTCTTCGTCAGAGTCAAGCTCCTTAATCCTTTCAGCAATGGACTTATAACCCGCAAGATTCTGGGTAACAGCTGTGCCTGGACGATTGGTATCTTCATGTGTAGGATAGCGGTTCCCTATAATGGACCCTACTTCCGAGTCTCGTAAGACGCTAATAGTAGTAGAATCATCAACACCCTCAAGGTCGGTATCAAAAATGTCTCCGGGCCCCTCATTTGGGTTTGTAGTATGAATCTCCTGCGGTGGCCCATTAGGCAGTCCGTGGGGCTCTGTGCTTTCTGATAGTGAATCTCTGTGCTCTCTATTGGTAGATGGGCGACCGAGCCCACGTAATCCACCTAATAAGGCAGGGGGTGGTTTTATTCTGGCCAGCTCAACTTGGCGCTCCCTGGAGTTTTGAACTGGCTTGAGTAGAAGCCTCTTCTCTGTCCCATTTGAATCCCCGCTCCCTTGGACGAAATCACTAACCCTCATGATTCTGGGTTGACATATGTTATCCTTAAATGTAACAGCTCTGCGTATTGATATTATTGGCCGTTAATCTGCTATGAACCCTGGGGTTGTCTGTTATTGATTGTTGACGTCTTCGTGATGTTGAAATTAAGCTCAAATGAGGTGCATTTTAACTTTGTCACATGATAGATTTTCTCGGAGCTACATTATTTATGCCTTGAGCAGCATGGGAAACAAGACGTTACAGATATGATAATAGTGAAAAGGGTAAATATCAGTTTATTAGTGGGATTCCCACAACCTACAGAGTGCATTATTGGAGTAGCACCACTGAAACGAAAATAATCTACCCCCCATACCAGGTGCTGTTAGGAATACACACATAGCTATAACTAGTCAAATACCGGAACTTCGAGTCCGATCCAATCTAGCCTGCGCTTTATTGAAGAATGACTTTGCTTTCTCGATCTCTGCTAACCTTTTCTCCTTGGCTGCATCGATTTCAATTCTCAGTATCTCGGCGTCGAGACGTGCGTTTCCACCACGATCATCATGTGGAAGACTATCACCGAATTCATCTTCTATACCAGCAAGGCCTTGTTCGCTTTCACTAAGTAAAACTGAAGACAGGTAAAGATCACCTATCCACTGAGATACCATTCCACGCAGCCTGAGCAATTCGTGGCTATCCGAGAAAGGAGGAGAAACGAGCAATTCATCCATTTGTCTTGCAATCTGCTGGGCTTCTTCTAGTTCCTTGACGCGAGCAGCAATAATGGCCGTTTTATTATCTGATATTTTGTCATGGCTCTGCGTGTAGTCATCCATTCTTGCACCAGGGTCAGAAGGGTCAGGGTATTCATTGCTGTCGGCAACGGACGCACCAGAGTTGTAGACGGATTCTCCAGAGTCTCTGGCCAAGCGGCTTTCCTCTTGGGACACTGATATCCATAACCCAAACATAGCTGGATAGAAATGTAACGGGCTTAACGCGTTCGGCGCTGCCTTGCGATACTGATATTGGATGATCAGTCTTTCATAATATTCTTTTGCGCGCTCAAACCCAGCCCTTGTAAACCATCCCCGATTCCCAGGACCGGAACTAGAACCAGTCCATAGTAGTATCTCTGCCCCGGTGGCCCACCTCCCTGAGTTCCTCACGTCTACCGGATGTCCACCGAAATTATCTCGAAGAATCAGGCCCAAAGCCCTTCCGGCACGAAGATAGTCCCCTTCCATTAGACAGCGATGTAAGATGGTTGTTACAACGCTCAAATGACGAAGGCGCAGGGCATTTTTTTTTGTAGGATTACCACCTGCTAGGTATATTGGTGGATTCAATTGAGATAGATCAGTCTCTATTCGCTGCCTGCTATTTATAGTTTTGGTTCTTTTCTGTTTCGTGGCCCAGGTGTTTGCCCCATCTTCGTCACCTTCGAATTCATCGTCACTCTCAAGTGAAGTAAAGTCGTTCAAATCGGCTTCATGTGGGAATTGTCCACCTGGCAATTCGCGGTATACCGGAAGCCCTGAGATCCTATATTGATGTGCTTCTCCAGGGGAGAGAACTAGTGGCACTCGAGTGGTTGATCGATGTTTCTCCTTCTGTTTATCCTTCGCCTCAGACTCGCTTCTTACCACACTTTCTGTTCCATCTTGCCCTTGACCACTGTGCTCTTGGTCCAGCTCCTCGTTGCTGTCGCCATCATGTATCCTTTGAAATCTTCCCCGTTGCTTCAGGTGTTCATACTTGGCTGTTCGGTAGCTTACAGGCTGCTGCCACAATGGCAGTGGGAGGGCAAAAGATGATGCAGCTTGGTCCGAATATGCAGTCCTCGACATAGAGAGCAGGTATTTCCTATCATATACCGGGAAGGGCACAGTACTGGATTTGCGACGACCTCCGTCGTCAACTGCATCATATTGCCGAGGGAGCGAAAGAAGCTCTTTTTCGGCTTTTGTGCTTGTCAGAGCTGGAGGTACACCTAGGCAACTAGTTATTAGTCATCAGACGGGAAAAACGGGAATCGAACCTCTCAAAAAAAAAAAAAATAATGGAGGCCACGCCCATAGGACTTAGACAAAACTCCATATGCCGTATAAGAAGGAGCCACTGTAGTTGACCAACTCGTTCAAAGAATGAATAAAAGTGGTACGGAGTAAACGTGGGTATTTATAGGCCCTCGCAAGACATTCTGGATAAAATGTTAACAAGTTACTTTGAATCGTTTGATAGACGGCTTGAACTCCAATGCCTAAATAACTATTATTTTACAAGTTCTACCCGCGGTATAGTGACTCGGGCTGTCTAGGTAACCACTACAAAACGTCAAATACTCACAAACACTGGATTCTTCTGCGGCAAGACAATTAGGATCAGGGGGGGGTGGTAGACATACTGTCTAGATGATCATGAGCAGCGAGTTTGCCTAGAAGTACCCTGATATCTACTGAACCGCTCCATGATGCCTTAGAGCTTGTATTTCCTGCCATATAGTTAAACAACACATCCCTTTCGACTAGCAGCACTACTTCTAGGCTCCCATCCTAGGAGAGCTTGCATATCCTGACCACAACTCCTCTGAGCCACGCACCTTAATCAATTGCAACAGTTCGAGCCATGGGACAAATACTTTCCAAGACAAAAAATAACGACGCCGATACTGTTGAACGGCCGCCTACTCCGCGCGATATATCTTTTTGGGCTGACTATATACCTGATGAAGTCAGTCGGAGACCTGAGGACCGCAAAGGCTGGTACACTGACTTCCTTGAACAAGCAGCTGTTGCTCCCCATCAGGATGGAAAGTCTGTTGTTGTATTTTGGCCGTATAAGGATGAGACAAGGGCTGATGAAGTCGACCCAAATGATGTTATAGCGAATGCTGCTACTATATACGAGACTTTATTTTATGAACATGGTGGACATCCACGGATGGTGAAGTAAGTTATTCACTCGTTACTATCGGTAGTAAATATACAATATATTAACATATCCACTAGGTATCTTCATCGATTAGACTCCGGTGTTGGGTTTTGTCTTGAACGTCTCACCCCCGGCCCCCTGGATAATATCAGATTTCCACCCCTTTCACTTCCCATTCAAACGCCATCAACTCAAAATAGGATTCTTTTAACCTTATACTATCGATGGGCACTCCAGAGCCTCTCCGCTCTACATTTTATGCATTCAAAGTCTATGTATCTTACCACCGTTGGTAATACATTTACCTGGCTACGGTCCGATATGTCCATTGCAATTACCGGACTTACATGCGTTGCATGTCCTACCCTGGTGCCAGAATGGGATGACCATGGTGAAACAGGTAACTTCGTATACAAGATAGAAAGACTATCACAGCATTCCTATGGAGATTTAGAATGCTTTAGTACCGATAGCAGCGAATGTCCCCCATGTAACGCAGCTTATGATATATTCAGCTGGGCGTTGTGGATATGGCAACTCATGACAAACCACCATTCAACAAGCCCACCGCAGCACTCTTGGTATAGCTCCTGGTCCCCTCTTCTACCAATAGACCCAGCATCCTGGCCAGATTTTACTAGTAATATTCAATTCCGAGACTACGAAGATGAGAGGCGCAGGCAAGGGGCGTGGCAAGTCCTTGAAGAGGAAAGACTTGGTCATATACTTGTTAAAGCCTGGAATCAAGAGTATGAAAGTGCGGATCAAGTGATGCATGATGTGAAAGAAGTCATTGTTAAGATGGGTATGAAGCTGATTGGGGAAGACGAGATTGAACTCGAGGTTTGCGGCGGTAGATGGGAGGATGTTTTTGATCAGGATCTACAATTTGCATGCCTCGAAAAGGAAACTAGTTAGTTTGTTAACTAACGTACATCTTGGTTCTAATTTAAGGGAATAAAAATATGGCAGCATAACAAGACGAATATGGATTGTGCCTAGAAAGCTCTGCTAACATACCCACTGTTACACGTATCAGGCCCTTTCAATCTATTTAGAGCCACAGCTGCTGCATTGAACGCGAGACCCTTCTATTCCTTTTGGCCTACCAAGGTCACCTACTTCCATATTTTATTGGAAAAGTCACTAGTTTCCAGATATTAAAGAGAACTATTTGGGCCAAACTTACAAATCGGCACGGGAGATTCCAAATTCAGTAGTAACAACAGCACAGTCATCACCATCACAAATTTGATAGAATCTACCACAGTATGTGGGGACATTAGGTGGCTGCACTCCTTACCATTCCCGCCACTGGAGGGGCAATTCATTGGCAGCAGCCCAGTTAGGAACTCCCCTACCGCTAGCATCCTTATCCTCAAAGCGGGCACCATGAGTCAGTAGTAGTTTAATAACCTGCTGCCTCTTTTCTATAGAATATCTAGGTCTGTCGCATGCCTGTGCATATGTAGCACATAGTGCAGGTGTTAAGCCAGCACTGTCTCTCGCAACCGGGTTAGCGCCATGTCGTAGTAGCGCCTTTACTACGGCGACCGATCCATTGCTTGCCGCCCAGTGTAACGGTGTCTGTAGAGAAAGTTTGAGACGATAGCCGGCAGGGCGATACTGGTAAATATCTCCTGGCACAACGGCCTGCGCCTCAGTGTCTGCACCAAGACCAATAAGACGTTCTATCAGAGCTGTGACCCCTTCATGATGCTCGTTATAGAGATCTGCGACACGGTGTAGAGCCGTCCACCCTTCCTGAGTTATATCGGTGGCCTTCGCCCCGTGATCAAGTAGTAGATTAGCGACCTGTAGCATGCTTACAACCCCTAACCTTTCTTCGAGAGCGAATAAAAGCGCTGTCCAGCCTGATGAAGACCTATCATTGATACGTGCTCCCTCTGCTAGTAGTCTCTCGACGATTCCTACCTGGTTCCCGTGAGCTGCTCGGTGGAGCATAGTCTCTCCGCAGAGAGTTGAAATGAAGATGTTGGGGTATCTATGGTGTTCTAAGCAAAACTGGAAGAGCGAATATGGCCCGTAGTATGCAAGTATGTGCATTGGTGTCTGGCCCAAGTTATCTGTAACGAAGGCTGAGGCTCCGTGCTGCAGTAGCATCGTGATAGTGTCCGTGTTAAAGCGATCGCCCGTTGGTAGAGGCCGACGATGTTTCACCATCGCGCGTGTGATGGCTGTAGCACCGTCCTCGTTTCTGATGTGTACATCCGCTCCTCGCTCAAGCAGAACTTGTACTGCCCCAGCAGTGTCGGGGGAAGAAGCGCTGATATGCAATGCGGTGTCACCTACGCTGCCCTGTTGAGCATTTATCCTCGCGCCGGCGTCTAGCAGCAGCTCGATAACTCTCCGCTGTTTTTGCGGGTGCAGCTCATCCGGCTTAAATTCTGATCCACATAGCTTTCTCCGACAGGACGCAGCCTTCCAAAGGGCTTCATCAAGGCCATCCTGCGTAGCCTTCCCGCCCTGAAGCAATGTTTGGATGGCACCCTCCACCCACTGGGCAGCGCCCACAAACAGCGCCGCATCTACCTCATCCGCGTCCATCGCCCGCCAGGCACAAAGATCGCTCACAATCTCGTCAAAGCCCCGTGACGCGGCCTCGCTAATCGCAGACTGATGGAGCTTCGACAGCTTGCGCACTCTTGAAAGGTGATCAACCCGTGGCTTGCGTACGCTTGACAGGCCGTGAGCCACGCCGTGATCCCAGAGCATCTTGACGATGGCGCGCCTCCCCCATATTGCAGCCAGCACCAACGAGTTATCGCATTCAAAGGAAAAATCACCCATGGCAGGCTTCTCAGAGTCTGCCCCGGCGTCGAGCAGCAGCCGGACTACATCAGGGTGGCCGCTGGTAATAGCATCGTGTAATGCAGTCCCACGGCAGCCGAAGTCCACGTCCCAGCCGCTACTGATGAGCTCTTGTAGCTTGACGGTGTCGTTTGCCTTGGCGGCGAGGTGTAGAGCGAGCTCTGGACGCTGGTGAACCATATTTGATTAACTATATCAGGTGCATTCTAGCATTATGGCGGACTCAATACATTTATAAAAGAATGGTAACTATTGAGGGAGAACAATTCTACCAACAATTGTTGTTGGCTATTAAAACCTATGTTTGTCACGGCCATGGTATGAAAGATGAATAATGTGTTATAACTGGCTAGCTATAATATAACTATTCTCTCCTTTAACTAGGCACCTAGGTAGTTAACTAGTTAGTTAAAGAGTAGTGCCTGCAATAATGATAGTGTTAAATTAACAGGCAACACTGCTTATCAGCAACAGCGGAATGAGTCTGTTCAACTCCTTCAACAGTTATCAGACCATCACCTTGTCGCTCGACCGGTTCCCTCCTTATCTACTCCTACCCACCTCAAGGCTATCCTTGCAGAACAGGTAGTACCCGGTAGTTATAGGTAATGCCCAACTTTCGGCTTCGGCGTCTCCGGTCGTTACCTTGGTCTCATGACTTGTGGCTGGCCCTCATCCTTCTGGCGTGTTGCCGGGTATGAGACAGGGGTTTGTTTACCCAGCCGATAACTACTCGCTACGGAGGTGTCGTTAACCCATGTTGCATGCGGCGGGTTCGTCCGTGAAACTGTCACAAGAACATGTTACCATCGGCTATGTGAGGAAGTGTCAAATCAACACCTTGAAAGGTAGGCCTGACCAGGTAACTAGGAGTAGTTAACTATGGGTGGCCAGGTATTCGGCGTAACACCTTCTTTGGCTGTTTTTATTACATAAATGCCCATGATACTTGACCAGGAGTTGCAGAGTTCCCCCTCATTCGCAACCCACAGCGTGAAATAGCTAGCTTTTTTTGAATATATAGAGATTTTGAAACCATATAGAATCAACAGGACGAACGTAGAGACTTAGATTTCGGACGCGTGGCTTTCCCATTGCTAGTAACCAAGCATATTCATGATAATCATTCTTCGCTCTCATACATCATATCGTTAAGGTCATGTCAGGTCGTTTCCTCGGGTTCGTACATCGAAAAAGGGGGTGAAGATGAACAAATAAAATGGAGTATTTTCAACATTCCCAAGAAGTCAAAAGGGAAGAAGGGGAGAGGAAGCAGAAGAAAACTGGGAAGGGTTAAGGATGAGATAGCGAGCTTGGAGCTGCCGATGCGCGAAACAAGGATGGAGAGACGAGTGTAGGAAGAGGAGTGGAGTTGCTAAGTTAATACACCGAAATGGGAGAGAAACTCAGGGGAGATGCGGAAGAATGGGCAAGGGCGTATGGTTCAAACAAATGAAAGATATGTTGCTGTCGAAGCTGTGGTTCAAAGTGAGTGGACAAAGGGAAGCAGACGGCTTTATGGTCCGATTTTGTATATAGGAATTTGGATAAAATCTCCCGGGAGCTTGTTCGCGCAAACGGAGTGGAATATAAAAAGGTCAAAAAGGGGAAATGAAGAAGAAAACATGAATAAAAAAATAGAAAAAAAAAAAAAAAAATAAGTGAATAAAAAATAAAGGAGAAAGCATAAAAGCCATCAAACATTAACCAGAACCCATAAGAAAACCCCTCCCCTCAAAAAATGCGGAAAAAAAAGTAATGAAAACAACAATTAGCTATGTGTGAATGCGGGTATGAAACGGTGAATGCCTCGCGGCTGGTCTCTGGAGGGAGAGGCTCTGGTCCCCCTCGACAAGGTAAAAATGGTAAGAATATTTTCTGCCATCCATCCGATCCACGGACGGCCTATAAGAAAGAGAAAAGATGCATAACCCGCGAGGGAAGAAAAAAAATGGCGTATAGAACCTTCATCCAAAAAATGCAAGTCATAGATGCGCATGGAGAGAACATACGAAATAGTTGGTGGATATATCCATCCTGGCCGCGTAGAGCGATAGGGTCAACAGGGCGAAGAGTAAGCATCGCCTGCTAGCCAAAAAGTGATTGCACTGGTAACGTTGATATTCCGTTTTGTAAACCTTAAGTTTGCTCAGGTATTATCCGGTTGAAGGGTGAGGTTGAAGAGAAATCAACAGGTGAGGGATTCCCTGCCAGGCTCCTCGGCCTTGACGGTCTTCCCAGCACATTCTCTTACCATGTTGTTGAAGTCCTGTAGTACCTTCTGAGGGACACGGTCCCACATTAGTGATCGCGAGTAGATGTCTGGATTTCCATTTCCCTTGAAAGCAGCACGGTTCTGGAGTCCGTGGTTGCGCATTGCTGCGTAGGCTTGCTGTAGGTTTGATGGAGGAGCAACGTGGTCATCGCCCATATCGTCATCGCCCAGAGTAGTAAGTGCTTGGTATTGCTTGGTAGTCATGGCAAAGGCCTGGGCATCCTCTTGGTCTTTAGATGGTGCAACGAGGTTGTTATGCAGGACATCAAGATTTGTGGCGGTGCCACCAGCAGGGCCGGATGTGATCTGGGCCATTTCACTGTTGCTAATCGTGGTGGGTAGCAGAGCACCGGAGCTGGGCGAGGGTCCAACAATGCTAGCCGAGCTTCCATCAGGAGAGCCCGAGGCAAGGACTGCACGCAAGACATTTGCTGACTCTGCGCGGTATTCTTCGGATAGAGCGGGGATGGCGGGTTGCGAGGTGGAAGTGCTGTTGGAGGCAATAAAGGCGCCAAACAGCAGGCACATATAGAATGCATTCCAGCTGAAAGCAGAGTCGGTCTGGGTCATCGGCTTCTCTGCTTGTTTCTCTGCCTTCTTGGAGTTGAAGTCTAGGGTAAATGGATGGCGAGCAGGCGTAGGAGTAGGGCTGCGGGGTTGCGGGCGCTGTTCAGTGTCGAGACTGAACTCATCAGACAGGGAGAACGAGTCCCAAGAAGGGTTGTCCACGCCGAGGCTACCATAGTCGGAAAAGTCATTGCGAATCGTGGAGGCAGGGTCTGAGGGATTAGAGTTGAGCTCCATCCTCTCCAGATGTTCTCGAAGAATAGTGTTCTTCTTGCGAAGCTCGCCAGTCTCAAGGGTGTGAGTGCGAATCAACTCTTCCTTTTCCATATGGAGCTGTTCAACAAATTGGTGCAACTGTTGCTGGCGCTCAAGCATTTCGTTCTTTTCCCTGATGAGTTCCGCCTCTCGAAGCTTCATCTCCTGGAGTGCCTCCTGAAGCTCATTAATGTGAGTGGAAGACCGTCGTTTGTCCTCCTCTAACTGTTCGGTGTGGACTTTCTTTCGCTGGCGAGAATCAAGGCTAGTGGTCGTTAGTAAGGATAATTCATGTACTGGTAGAGTGGATAGGACTTACGCCGCCTGCCTGTTTCTAAGAAGGCGTTTCTGCTGCTTGAGTTCCTTTATCTCATCCTCGTCATTCGACTGGCTGATCAGGAGATCGATGTTACTCAACGTCCGCTCAGCGGGGATATCGAAACGCGCATTCTTCTTGCGTATCCCATCTCGTCGGATGGTAAGACTGGCTGCGCTGTTTCGGTATCCACCAGAGGTCCTGACTGGTCGCGACTGGACTTCTGGCACCTCGGATGAGCCTGATACCCAGCCCTGACTGGATTGCGGGGACATGGGAATAGAATTAGGAGCAGCGAAGGGTGGAGAGGCTCTGAATTGCATCTGCTGGTAAGACATCGGCTGCACCTGGCCAACGGCGCCACCGGTAAATGGGTTGGCGACTGAACCATCGAACTCTTGGGTGAAGTTCTCGTAGATTGGTGTGGGGGTACAAGAGCCGGAATCATTAGATACTGGCCAAATCTGTTGTGGCTGTTGCTGGTGGTGCTGGTGGGGATGTGGTTGCTGGGAAAAGGCTCCTGTGGGCGCATCTAGTCGCACGAAAGGATTGCTGACAGGCTCAAATAGTGGTGTTGATAGTTGTGATGGGTGCCGTGACTGTGCGTCGGTTTGGTGTTGAGCCATATCCGACCATACTGACTCCCTCCGTGAAAACTCATCGGTGGTTTGATCAAAGGAGGTCCGCCGTGAGCTGTCCATCGACATATCCTGAGCGCCGGTATCGAGGATCTTGTCGTCCAGTACACTCATCTCCTCGTCCCTGGCGAACATGGGTTTTGTGTCGAGGTTGGGAGGAGGCTGGAAGAAGTCAAAAGCCGGTGATGGAAGAGAAAACCTCGCCATCTTGGGAGGGTGTGTGTGTATAGATTGGGTGGTATGGTAAAAAGACGCACTCAAGGCGGGAAGATGGTCGAGTCCCGCCGTACACCGTAGAAGAAAAGAATAAACCAAATATAGAAAAAGAAGCAGATTATGCAAAAATCAAGGGGGTCGTAGTCGTTAAATCGTCTCGTCGTAGATAGAATAAAGTGTTCAGCGTAGTTGGTTGGCAGTGTTCGTTGTTGTAGGAGACGGAGGAAGCAGAAGAGAAAGAAGATATTCTGCCTTGGTTGCGGGAAGAGGCGGTGTGTGCGGTAGATACGGTTGGCTCCCTTCGTCGTTTTTTTTATTTTTGCGGACGGGCCAAAGAAAAAAAAAAGATGGCGCACGCAAGAAGTGGGCAAGGGAAGAGAAGCAAAAGAAGAAGAGAAGAAGAAACGATAGAACACTGTGCAACGTGCCTGGGAGAGAGGGACGTCGATGCGGGGGGGGAGGAGGGGAGGGAAGGGTAGGAAGCGTTAGACGGGGGTCTCGTTGCTTCTGCTGCTGTTCTCCTGCTCGTGTTGAGGTCAAGAGACACTATGGTGACGGCGGGCTGGTGGTACTTTTTTAGTGATGGCTTGATATATAGTAGCGATCATCTGCTCAGGGCAGCGGGGGCAGCTAATATATCTTTTGATCCGACTCTATCGGTATCTTGTGAGTATGCAAGGTCAGACGAAGACCGTCGCTCTTTAATACCGCCGTCGGGGTCACTCGTGGTGCTGCGCAGGCCGTCCGGGTTGTCCTATCACCTATCGACTTCCCTGGCGATGGAGATGCGATCGAGGCGTTCGAGCAATGGTAACCCGACCCTTAAGCTATGGTGCTGAGGTAACTTAAGGTAAGGTGGTGGTGAACCGGGGGGAAAAGGTTTCGTGCAAGAGAGCCACCTTCGTACCCGTCACCAAGAGGAGCAGATCGAAAAAAAATGTTGCCCAGCGGTAATGATAATAATAATTCGGCTGCTTTGATTCTGTACCTTTTGGTAAGATACAGCAAAATCAAACCAAAGGGTGTGGTGCGTCCGTGTGTTGGATGGGCGGTTTGATCCAGTCGATGCGCTTCTTCCCTTGTCCCTTGCGGGTGCCTGGAGGTCGATGTACAGTTCCCCGTCCACTGGGCAAGTGTATATTCCCTTTCTCGTCAGGCGTGAGATGCCATATCAAGAATGAAGAATGCAAAAATACATGGTAAGAAGGAAAAAGGAAAGAGAGAGTTCAAGCATGTCCCTCGATCTCATCCATCGTCATCTCTGGCACGCCTGGGGATTGTCGACTGACGCCTAAACTGTATGGGGATGCACCCTCACCGGCAGTCCGTTGCGAATCCATCCTGGTTCCAGATCGACCAGCCATCGTCTCTCGCCGGAAGTCTAAAAAGTAAGGCGACGAAACAGCAGCCTGCGTTGAGCTCTGCGAGCGGCTGTCATTGGATGCCTCCTATTGGGGTTGTCTTTTTTGGGGGTTTGGGCACACTTGCAGCTCTAGCTCTTGTCCTTCTTTTTTTTTCCTGGTATGGACTTCGACCCTTTTTTCGTCTCTCTGAACTGATTATTTTTAAACTTCGACGTTTCTGCTCTACCTGCGAGGGAGTCGAACCATACAGACGGAATTCCGAGATAGTCGCCTGGTTTTGTGTTGAAATTAGCGATATAGTTACCGATCATGTCTGGAGATATTCGTTCGATACCAGCGAAGAACTCGGTCGAATAGATAGACTCGTTATGGAGTCGCAGAATGACGGGGTCTGATATTGCCCAGTATCGCACATCTCGCACGGTATTGGCGTCGTCTCGTCGAGGCTCTCGAAGGCATAAACTCCCTCTGACACACGGCTCCTGTCTCAGAGAACAGGGGCCAAGTATACTTACTCCGCCTGGACTCGGCGGGCATTCTCAGCCAAACAACCACAGCTCTCAAACAACCTCTCAAGCCGCCTCTCTCATCGTGAGGGTAGAATGACATCGACTGGCTGAGAACTTCTGTTTTTTTTGGCTCTCCTTCAATGCTGTTCCTGTTCACCTGTTACTTTCCTCCCGAGCGGAACGAACTCCAAGCTACAGCCACACCACTCCTCTCTACCATGGATCGGGGCCGGGGGAAATGTGGGCACAGAACCTTCTGCACTTTGTTGATACATACATACAAGCCCGGGAGGTTGCTTCTTTCGGGACACTCGTTCTCCTCACGTTAATCATATGGGCTGTGGCGTTTCGCTTCGCCGCTACCCTTCCTCATTTACCGCCATCTAAGGTTACCTTATGTCGTAAGGCCCTTGCATCGACCGACCAAGAGAGCTACGCCGCGCATTCCTAAGGTCGCCGTCAGCATTGTTTATGGATTTTTGAGTACGGATACTCCTATGCACCCGCACAACACCATTCCATATGCCATGAAGCTTACGCTGGCATTGCAACGGTCTTCCGCCCTTCCCGCGTACATACATACCCACAAAGACGAGCAGACGGACGTTGCTTCTTGTTCCGAAGATCTGTGCTCCACAAATACTACACATTTGGGGATAAGTATGGTCACTGCTTTAGGTTCCTCATCCTTCCTTTTTTAATTTTAATTTTTGTTATAAAAGCCAAAGAAAAGGACCTTCTTCGCACGTACGACCTATTTCGTTAGAGACCCAGCGAGGAAAGGGCGGTTAGAAAAAGAAGGGAGAACAAGGAGGGCTAGAGCTACCTATACTCCAGGTGCATTTTTCATGGCTGAGATTGCCCTGTTCTTGAACTACCAGGATGCGCGCGGCCTACCCAGAGGTATGTTTAGATCGGTCTTGTGCCCCTCCTCGTTACATTCCTCCCCGAGTAACTCGTAATATAATGGCGGATTGGCGGGACAAGCAATAGCAAAACCGATTTTCATCACTGCCGCTAATCGTGAGCCAATAGTATTGGCCTCTCTCACCGCCTAAAACGGGTTAAGGGCGAAAAGCAAACGTTGCATTTCTGTACCATGAGGATGAATATCCCCTTCTTCCTCAGTCAGACGTCTGTCTTCTCTATTCGAGCAACTGCTCATAGGTTGGAGCCTGAGCGCCTCACATTTCGGACATTAATAGGCTCAGGCGCGCAGCTGAAAGGCCGTCCTTGCACTCCGTTAATTTTCTGGTGCTGGCCATCCTCATGCTCTGAGTATACATATAGTCATATACACATGTGACCTTTAGTCTCAACTCAGCCTTGTATGATTGAACCGGCGTAGTCTCAGGGCCCAGGGCAATTTGATTAATGGTTTAAATCCTGTAGATTTTTGGCTCATAAAATTCTTCAAGTGGACTATCACGAGATATACACGAAGTTGTGTGTATTCGTAATGTGTCGGTTTTGTCCTGTCGCGTGCGGATATCCGAGATATTATTGAGCCTTCTCAACCACTTTCCCGGAAAATTCTTGCCATTTCTGGGCTTGGCTGTCATGATATCACGATACAAGTGTGCATAGTTGCCATCGTAATTGAGATCTATAAGGCATCAAGACTAACTCCTTCAATCAGGGTTGCCCCTTAAGTTATATGCTAGCGCCTTGCACAGATTGCATATAATAAGGAGTTTTCCGATGCTCTGCGAGAGACAAACAGCGGATAGCTGCTATCTGAGGGTCTACTCTCACATGATTCCTGGGCAAAACGGGATGAACCTAGTTGTGCCATTTTTGCGCGGTATGAGAGGGGGTAGAAAAGAATAAACCGGACGGGGACCTGGAATGGATGGTATCCGCAGCCAAGGACAATAATAATACACCGAAATGAAACTTCAGTAAGATATTAGTTTGGGTATATGCTTACACGGATGTGCTGCCGCCATGAAGCGATGAGGTATACTGGCTTTGCCCCCCTCACCTATTTCAATCGTTTCAGTGGAATCTCAATGGAGCTCCGATTTGATCAAGACGCTTTGTGGCTGAAGTTTATCTAGCTTCTATGAAAACAGCCCTGATATTTTAATGTGGTGTGCTGAAGGAGGTGATTCCAGAGTAGCGGTGGTGAGGGGCAAGGATGTACGAAATATGGATAGGTGGCTCGTCCTGAAATTGCGCCACGCTTCGCGCCGTTCCAGGTACGTAACCACATGCGCGCTGCTACACAGTATTGGAGCGGTGTTTAGTGGCGAATCCAGTCAGGTTTATGCAATTATGATCCTGTAGCTAGAAGAGACATCATAAAAAGAAAAGTACACGCAGGAGGCGAAAAGCAAGTACCCTCAAATTAGACCGCAACTGTCATCTCCAGGTACGCAAATATGGGAAGTGACAACGGTACAGATTCACCCGGTAGTTGTAGCTGGAGTAATCTGATATCAACGAAAAGGACGTGGTCAAAATAATGTAAGATTACATAATCATATGACATAACCAAAACTATAAATAGATGGATGATTACGTAATTTAACGAGCTTCAGTTAACGGCCAATGAAGCAATTCAAAAAACAACTTCGAGGAAAACCTCGTTTTTGTTTGTTCTTGACAACCGCCTGCATTTTTCATGCACCACACTTCAGGCACAAAAGCAGCTGGCAAATGAGAAGCCAAAACTCGACCTCAGACCACTGGCGCTCAAACTGAGACTGTTTTGCTCGTATCGAGATGCGCCCCTCGCCGTCCTCCTGATCGAAACAGACCCTCTGTGCCTGCCCAATTAAAGGCCAACTACCATCCCTCATTTCCGCGTCTTGCGAACCTCAAGCGGGCGGGCTTAATAATCTTTGCTCCGGGGATGCTCTCTCAGCCGTGCGTGGGCTGGCCGAAGGCCCGCCTACTTTTCAAGGCAATACCCCTCGCCTGTACTGCAGGTGATTGGTTAGGCAGTATTATTGTCATCCCATTTAATAGTTGTGCTCATTCCGGACATATACCAGTTCAACCGTGAAAGAGGGCGTCAGAAGGATCACCCCGAGACATCCTCCGTATCAAACTTTAGAGGATTGCCCAGCATGATACTCGCCTTGCCATTTTCTCGGAATATGGTAATCTCATTGCGGCGTACCTCAGCTCTTGGATGAAAAAAAATGAAATCTCCTTTTATTACATCTTATAATGCGCTTATCGGCCGTGATTTTTGAATATAAAGCTCGGGGACAACTGCGCCTCCGCTTGCCTAGTTCCAGCCTTGCATTTTGACCTGGGCCTAACAAGAAGATAACTGGATGACTCATAAGTTAAACCAGTAAAACCCGCTCCAAGCAGGTGAAGGCGAATGGACAGCCCCGTTTTATGCTCGAATTTATGAAGCGTCTACCCCTGTCATATGCGTTCGCCTTATATGACGCAGATTCAACAGTTGGGGATTTTCAAGGCAGTTCCCTCCGGCCACTACTCCTCCCTGTATCTTTTCTTCAATTGCAAATAGAAATTGTGGGAGTTTTTCGAAACTATTATTACCCTGAGTCTGAGATATCACGGACCCCTCCACTCATAATGAACAAGGCAAGTTGAATGCTCAAAATCAAACAGAAACTTTGATAGCAGATACGTGTACCCCTGCGTGGATTGTGTCTGGTTACCTAGAGCTGCGCATGGATGAATTCACATCGAATTGCGCCCGACATCAGTTCTAGCTTGCGTATTATCCCTTGGTGCACAGAAATGGAATTCTTCTCCATACGCTTTGGCTGGTATGCAATATTGGTGACATTTTAGCTCAAATGGCCGAGAAACGTCATGGTGCATTTTAAAATTCCTCTCCTTCCGCGGAAGGAATTCTGCATTTGAGGACTCGTTCGATGCATGGCAGCCCTGGTAGTAGCCATGCCATGTGAAATAGTAATGACGAGCCCAATCATTCCGTCTCTTTCGAACTCACCACTGCGGCCATGGGCCCTTGAAGTGTGCAATAAAACGATTCAGAATATGCAATTTTTAAGCTTAGCGGCAGACAACTGCTGGATAAGCTTGGGTACCCGACGCACAGGATGTTAACACACCTCGTCTCCTCTGATGTTCTGTTCATGCAGCGCGTCTGTTTTGATAAGAATTCATGGGGAGATTTTTTGGTCCCAAGGTATGATGACTCTTAACTTGAAACATATCCTTACATATGCTTGGTGAGTTGTCCGCTGGGTATATTTCTAGAATTACTAGTATAGCCCCGCCAGCTCACAAAACATATGCTGCGTTACGAGCTAAAGGGGAGACGTGGATATCACTGAGGGAGAACTGCATAGTTGATTTCCTATTGAGGATGTAAGATAATTGAAAAAGCAAACTGTTGACGCCCAAACGCCCGAAGGTAGCTTATCCACCCAATGTTTCTTGTACAAATGAGTAACAATACAAAGAGCTATCATAGGAACTATCTTAGATTGCTGGTGGCCCTTGAGGCCCAAAAAAAGTAAGAGCTTCGCCATCAAAAGATGGGCTGATATCTCAGGTACACGAGGATAGTTTCGGGTTCAGCGGGGCAAAAGTGACCAGGTGGTGAGATTGAGCTTGCTCCTCGTATTGAAACAAGTTGAAGCTAGTTGCCCAATTACTGGCCGGCGTTGCGATTAAGAGAACAATTGACTCTTACTCGAACTAAGAGAACCCGATGAAATCTAGCTGCTGGGAAGCATCCCCACCATCGGTGCCTTGAATAATCTCTTCTGGTTCCTCCAAATCATCAGAATCGACATCATCAGAGTCAATCTCTTCATACACCTCGTTATCGCTTGAGACATCCTCCTCAGAGTCTCCTTCAGCAGACGGATCTACCTTGTTAGCAGTGAACTTGCGAATTTGACCAGCTCTATCAACATGAGGAAGGGGGCATTTCTTATTGCCACAGTTTCCTGTGTTAGCATAGTCGGGACACTCGTGGACATGTCGCCCTTCACAAGTGGCTCCTTTACTGCAGTATCCTAAAATGGCAAAATCACGACAGACCGGAGCACCCGGCGTTATGTGGACATGGGTATATCGGCAACACGGATTCGTGCATCGACCACGAAGGAAATGAAGACACGCCGGGGATCTTTCAGGGGACGGGTCATGTGAAAGATCACAGGCCAAACCTGCATCGCATTTACCTGTCTGGAGGAAGTCTTTGCAGATGGCGACTTTGTTCGGGTCATGGATATAGGGGCAAGTTGGGCCCTTGAAACAAGTACCTATAATTCAGGTAAAAGGAGTTGTCAGTACTCACAAACGATATGCTCTTCTACCCAACACTGATGGGCCCATATCTAATCAGCTTGGATGCCGCCGAGGCCGATGGGATAGAATCTTCAGAAGGAGAGACTGGTACCCGTCGATGTAAATCTCTTGCATAGCTCGTTTCTCTTTTTCACGTTTCCGGGTTTTCTTTGATGTTGTAAGTTAAATGATTAATAAAGAAACAAGTAATCCCTTTAGGGTCAACTTCGAATGAATAAACTAGATTGTGCATACTTCTTTGAAATGACAGCACCTAGGCGGTGTAGGTTGCCCCGTTTGCTTCTGACAAACATAACACCTCCGACATTCACTCGTTTGGGGGTCACGTTCGCCTTTAACGGGTCATCTATAAACTGTGAGCTGATCCTCGAACTCTAATAGATATCAAAAGCAGATATATCCTCACTGGAAAGGGAGATGAGTTTACTGCCACCTTGGGCGACTTGAAATGGTATATTCCCGACAAGTATGGTATAAGTCCTTCCGTCAGGCAGAGGTTCGCTCCTATTGCTCTCTGGGAAACTTGAAGCAGACTGAGCATGTCGTAGAACCATGGATTCTTCCTGTGCCGCTTTCTTCTGTGATTTTAATCTCCGAGTCTCTGCTATTGCCTTGTTTCTGGCCTGCGTCTCCTGGTCAAATATTGATGAATTTATCAGCTGCATGTGGCGATCTCTCTTCGCTATCCACGAGCTCTTCGTGCCGGGTTTGGCATCGGTGGCCTCATCGCTCGGTGTAGACGATGAGGCTGCTACGCTTGCCGTCTCCGCTGGGGTGCTTTGACTATTAAGCACAAGTGTTCGGTTTCTGTGTGCGCCCGCCAAAGCCCTTGATGGTCCCCTTCCTCTTCCACGATATGGCCTCCAGCCGCCTCGCGAATGTCGAGCATAGGAAGAGCTTGGATTCCCACCGCGCACGGCAGAGTGCGTCTGGTTCTTGTGTTGGTTGATTTGGCCTAGTTGACTTGGTTACTTCTCATCAATACCTTGAGACAAAAAAGTATGGAAAACCCACCAGCTAACTGGCCAATCCTAGCCAGAAGCTCTTCTTCCTCAGTCATGGGAATACCACTGAGCGAGTTCAATAGTTAAATTGAATGTGAAACATTCCACTATTCTTAAGAAGAAATATTGAAGACGTTGTAGAGTTGAGTGGTGCGGTGTTGTGAAGCCTCTTTCAATCCTGCCGTTCCAACTTGAAACCTTATTACCTATTCGTTATGTAATACTGGAATTTTACTTATTCCTTTTCCGAAAATCTAACCTGGCCAATCATGTGGATTGAACGCGAGGCCAATTGTAAAAGCGCCTTTCAAAACAAGCAATAGAAAACATAGGTACGAGATAGTTACTTGATGTATTGTTATTTATAATACATTAACGGTAGGATGATATGCGAGGCCTATCAGTCTTTTGTAGACGAAACTAACAGGAAGGCAGAATTGCCATCACACATTTTCAAATTTCACATTTTCATCCTCATCAACGTCGGTGCCTATACCGGATGCAGTAGGCTCTCCTTCTGACCCTTCATCAAAGTTGTACCCGGCTGTAGGTGGTAGCTCCTCCTTTGCATCCCTATACGCGATGGCATCTGCATAGTTGCTTTCCCTTGCCTCGGGTTTTAATTCCCAAGTCATCGCAAAGTCGCCGGACTTAACCAGATGTGCCACGATCTCAAGCGTTTGTTTGAGATACACTTCCGGTTGCCGTAGCTCAGCCTTAAGCGACTTGAATGGCCAATACTTGTGTCTGCGGAAACAAGCATATATAAGATCCAGAAGTTCGTTCTGGGGCATACGGGCAGTTTTGTTTTCCTGTGCGCGTACTTTTGCGGGTTTCGCAACTTGCTGTTGAAAGTCAGCTAGAAGCCCATACTGTGTAACATTTGAAACAACCACTACTAGACTTACAATGAAATTGGACTTGTCGGCAGCAGCAACTGTTTTTGGTTGAAGCATCTTGCCAGGTACTTTTTCGATAAACTTAGTTTCTCGCTTGGGTTTGAGGGATTCCAACGCCCGTTCTTCTGCTAGTCTCTGGTACTCTTCGTTTTCAACAGGAAGACAGTTAAACTCATCATGAACCCGAGCCGTGATGGCGGTTTGTCCTAGGAAAAAAGTAAGCTGCATGTCGACTGTAAATATCTAGTCTTGCTTCACATACTTGGTACCGTCTTCTTCACATAGGGCTCCCACTTCTTTTTCCTCTCTTTCTTCTTTGCATCACGTTTAGTCTGTTCGTAAAGATATGACCGACCGTACGGCTGGTTTTCGTTGTAAAACTGATTTATCTTGTCCTTATACCCCGGAAGGTCCTTTTCTGTGAAGACAAATGTATTCTGAACCGCGTATGCTGATCGATCGGCGTTTACATTCTGTCGTCTCAGGTTGTAGTCTTTCGGTACGCCTTTATTCTGAGGTATATCAAGGAGTCGCAAACTTATCTAAATGCAACATGTCAGCGAAACCGCATATATAGCTCGTAGACGAAGAAATAGAAGGCGGAATACTCGTTTGATATCTGTCGGGTCGCCCTCAACTCTGACCGTGCCGATCTGAATCTCCTCGTCGTCGTCGAGTTTCGACCATTGCTCCCACAAGGTCCTGGGTACCCGTGTCAACCACACATTTTGAAAAGCGTTTGTGAAATCCAGGTCTCCGGTGTCTTCGTAGATATCCTCGTCCGACATGTTTATGTCCTTCGTGTCAGGCTCTTCCTTGATCCCTGGGTTGGCAAGAGGTTCAGCCTTGATCTGCCCTGCGTTCAAGCCGGACATAGTTATATATGTGAAGCTTCGGCTGTGCTGTGTGCCTGTAACGCAGAATTGAATTAATGGATAGTAATGAATAGCTGAATGAAAGAAGTGTTGCTCGATCGCAAAGCTTTTGTTCTTCAGAGTACTTATGAGGTCAGAGATTTGCTGACTAAGCACGCGCTAACTAGCCTCCAGCTTATCACAAAGCTTCGCCCTCTTATCTTAATATCTACTTTTCAGTATTTACACCCCGAATCACAGCGGCTACTGTTCCTCTATGCCTTTGATTCGCTTCGTTTTTAGATAGTTATAACCAGCAAATAAATATGGATTCCTTCAACCTCGATCCCACAGTTGACTCCGAGTTTGCTAATGAATTTGCTGAGATCCAATCAACCAACGATCAACGAGCCAAAGCACAGCTCTACAGTGACCTACTCTCCAAAATAGTCAACAAACCTTCTCGTTCCCTTGCACGGGACCTTACCCTTTTCTTTGGGTGCATTCTTGGGGGGGAAATAAGTGTTATTGCATCCCGACCTCTCCTTGATAGTTTTATCAGCTCTCTCAAGCCTCTCCCCGCAACTACCAGGATAGAAGTTGGACTACCAGCTATCATTGCCCTTCAGACGCGCGCAACTTCAGTTGAAGAGCAAGATGCTATGCTACGTGAGACACTTGCCGATGCATACGAGGAAGTGGAAGAATACTCCCAGGCTGCGAGGGTGCTGCAGGGAATTCACCTTGACAGCTCGCAACGTCACATAACCGATGAAGAAAAAATTCGCATGTGGATTAGGATAATACGCCTATATTTAGAAGATGACGATGCGGGTGGTGCTGAAATGTTTCTAAACAAAATTAAAAATCTGCCAACCAAGACCGAGGACCCAGCTTTACGGTTACATTTCCAATTATCCCAGGCCAGAATCCTTGATGCAAGACGACGATTTCTTGAGGCCAGCCAAGAATATCTCGCTGTTAGCTTAGCTAATGGTGTAGACGAAGATGATCGATTGCAAGCTCTTTCTGCGGCGATAAGATGTGTTGTTCTAGCTCCTGCAGGACCGCAGAGATCACGAGCATTGTCCAGGTTATATAAGGACGACAGGTCTTCCTCTCTGGAAGAATATGGTATCTTGGAAAAGATATTTCGTGACCAGCTATTAACAGAAGATGAAGTTACCAACTTTGCTTCTGGTTTAGTTCCTCACCAACTGGCACAAACAGCCGATGGGTTGACGGTGCTAGATAAGGCAGTTATCGAACACAACCTACTAGCGGCCTCCAAGTTATATGAGAATATCCGAGTCGATGACTTGGGCTTGATTCTGGGCCTCAAAGCATCAGGCGACATGAGTGCTGGTGAGAAGGCAGAGGCCTATGCTGCGAGAATGCTGGAGCAAGACCGACTGAAAGGAACAATTGACCAAATTGACGGTGTGATCAGCTTCAACTCGGAGATGTATGGAGACGTGCGGACTGGCCGTAGTCTACGGTACTGGGATACTGGGGTTCAACACCTTGCTCAAGATATAGAGAATGTAGCAGCCGCCATCATGGACGAGTTTCCAGTGGGTTACATCTTTCTCCATTCCTTTCTTTTCTCTTCTTCTTTTCCTTCCTTTTTTTAATAAGGGATACTAACTTGCATTCCAAGGAATTTTCTGCCGCTCGAATGGTGCACTAGCCTATTATATTTCATACAACAAACAAGTCGTTTCACCACCCAGAGAAGACTGTCTTGAATGCGTTTAGCTCGGTGACCTCGCACGATCCGAATAGTTGGCTGTATATGACATCCTTATTTTACCACACGCTTTCTTTTGTCAGGTTCTATTCCCTAACAGCTAAACAGTACGGCTCTTGTTAAGACATATTAGAACATAGTTACATGGCTAATGTATGAAATTTGGCAAAACTATCTCGTACTAAAGGCAAAGGCAAACCATAATCACATTGATTTATTGACTTGATCCCCTAAATCAGGTAGCAAGTCAAGAAGAATTAAGAGTTTTTTTAAGAGACCTGCCCGGTTCTTATATCAGAAAGTTTAGAACCGCCATTGATTTACCCACGTAGCCATCAAGTCGGCGGAAATTGGCCCCATTGATTGCATGGTCCTGCTAGCCTCTCTAGCCCGCGTCACACTGATTGGCGCCGACAGGGCCCCCTCTCCCTCTACTAAGCTCTTGTAGAAAGGGAGTAGTTTTAATGCGGGCTTTGTCAACATATCTTGATCTGAGGGGTTCCGAATCTTTTCCAGTTCTTCTATCCATTCTTTCATAGAAACTCGCTGAACTGCATAATTTTCATGAAGCGGCATCAAGAGAGATTCCCATGGAGTGGTCGATGGATTAACTAAGTGGAAGACCGAGCACCGGGATTCTGCCTCTGTCATTCGACGGGATTCTACAATCTCTATGATTATAGTAGCAAGGGTATTCTATTTTTTCGTTGACGATTAGCTAGTTAATCCTTTTGATGGGAAAAAAAGAGTTAATTGTGAGTGCATACCACAGGGATCCAATCAACAGGCATTGAGCCTAAGGTTTTAGGAATCTTTCTGATAGATTTTGAAGTCGCAACAATGGATGGTAGCCACTCTGTTGAATTCCAGGTACCTTCCTCAGTGGTCGGGCCTGCAATCTGGCCCAGACGAAGAATAGTTGTTGGAACTCCAGCTCGAGATGCTGCATGGCAGATACGCTCACAAATGTGCTTGGCTTGTCCGTATCCCTGGTTGAGTGTTACCTCACAGTTTTCAAAGAGCTCCTCAGGTACCGAAGGCCCATCGGCAAGCGTCCAGCCTCCAATTGCACCAATCGAGGAGTTGAAATAGAAATGAGCGCGGCGTACACTCTGCAAGCTGAAGTCGATGAGTCGGCGGACACTTCGGATTTGATCCTCAAAGGAGAGGATGGAAATGTTAAAGTCCATTCTCCAAGCATTGTGAATAACCGTATCTACCGTGTTAATTAATTCATTGTATTTCTCTTTTCCAAGACCAAGCCGCTCGTTGCTTATTGAAGCAGTGAGAAATTCGGCTTTTTCCAGAAGTTCTGTTTTAAGTCCCTTCTGTTTGAAACTTTCAACCTGCCGTTCTCCAGCCTCCGATCTGTTCAGGCAATATACCTTGGTGACGCTATCATCGTTCAGGAGGCAGTTTAGCAGATAGGTACCAAGCGAGCCTGTAGACCCAGTCAGAATAACATAGTGGCTCTTAGTGGCTTCAAGGTCTGGGAGACCAGCTGTATATTTTCTGACAAGCGAGTTGACATTCTCTTCGCGGGACACGCCATTGGTTTCTACACCATTTAGAAGTGCAAAAAGAAAGCTTGACAGGTTTCCAACGGTGGGGTGCTCATAGATCATCTGAGGTGTTAAGTTGGTGAAACCGGCTCTATTGAGGATAATACTCAACTGAAATGTTTGCAAGGAATCAAGTCCTACACTGTAAAGATCCGTCTCATCGGCGAGTTTGGACAGGCCAAGGGAGTCACATAAAATCTCCCGGACGGATTCTGTGAGGCTGGACTGATCAGTCAACTTAGAGATTGAATATTCAAACGCCTCATCGGCTGGGTTCATGTAGAGTTTATCAATTTCCTCCTTGTAGCTATCGATTACAAGGCGTCTCTGTGTGCTTCCCTTTGGTGTAGTGCTGAAAGGCTTGCTGCGAGATGCTAGGCCAATTCTATTCTTCATGACCCGTCCATAAGCTGGGCTGATGCTGTTTGCTTCTCGTATTGTTGGCCATATTTCATCAATATACTTATTTTCGGGATCATTCTCATCCCAAAGGTTCCAGTTAGGTTCCACCAACACGGCAGTTTGAAATCTTGCCAATCCAACCACAACAGCCCGCGAAACTAATGAATGGCCCTCGATGACTTTCTCCATAGTAACGGGGTTGAATTTTTGACCGTTGCTGAGTACAATCACATCATCGATCCGACCATGGAACTTCCAAAGCCCTGGCTTTGTGGGGTGTGGAGTGTAGACATCCTTCGTGCGATATTCATTTAGCTCAGGGAAAGTGTTGAAAATGGGTTGGAGGTCTGGCCTTTCATGCCTGTTTATGACCATTTCAGATCGGCCATCGTCCATTGGTTCCATTTTGATCCCAAACGATGGGCTCCATTCGAAGTAAGACCAATCTTTCTTTTCCTGGGGAACCAAGGACAAAACGAATCCAGCTTCAGTCATCCCAATAAAGTTGACTAGCTTGGTGCGCTCACAGATCTTGTTACCAGTTTCAGTTGCAAGTGGACCGCCCCCATAGTATACATGTCTAAGAGTAGAAAGTGCATCTATGGCTTTGGACGACGTGGACATATCCTCGAGAATGCATGGAGCAAATAGTGCCGCAGTCGGCTTGAGAGAATCAATGACTGAAGTTAAAAATTCGCTGGACACAGGCCGGTCAGGTAGGTTAATGAATGGTATTCGGTGGAATACGGCCATTACACAAACGGCGAAACCCATCAAATGGAAGAAAGGAGTGGTAGCCAAGATGACATCATTGCATGTAAGCCGGTCTGGAACACCCGCTGTTCTATCTGGCGGTATAGGGACGTAAGCACCATGATCTAGAGCAGCGAAGAAGCCATAGGTGAGGCGTATTGGCTTTGGGAAACCTTCATAGGTATTGGTTAGTATGTTTCAAGGCATCAGCAAGTTGGTATAAGCAGTGCTTACCAGTTGTACCTGAACTATGACCAATGAATGCTATTTCGTTTTTAACGTCATCAAAGTTCTTCGAGAAAGGGTACGGGCTGGAGTCGCCTTCAAACATCTCGTCCAAAGAAGGGATTTGGACGGTGTGCAAGCCCGGGGACAGAGCTTGTATCTCATCTACTTTCTGTTTTCGTTCCGCACTGTAGGCAACTTTCGAGCAACTTGTCATTTCAAGAAGACGGACCTGAGCTGCTTCAGAATTCCGAATAGATGATAATTGTGGCTAAGGTAACGTCAACACTAGATATTAATAGATAGATATTTCTGGTTGCCACCAACCTGATACCCTGTTTTATTACAGGCCATCACCATAATTAGGTAGCGGATATCGTTTGCTCCAAGGTAAGCCAAAGTCGCTGGGGAGGAGGTGCTTCCAAAGGATTCTTCTATCCACCGGCACATATAATTGACCGCATGGGCAAGCTCTTTAAATGTGAGGTCAACAAAGCTACCCGAATAATCGGCTCCCTTTGGTATAATGCAAAATCTCCTGTCTGGATCCAACTCGGCTACACGATCGATGGCCTGGGCCATGAATCTTCGGCCAATCGGTTCCGCGTTCTTGACTGCCATGTTTGGATATCAGGAGGATAGGTGGTTGGATTTGCTTGATAGGAGGTCACAGGGCCTTTGTGGTATGGACAAATGTTGATGGATTGGTTAAATCCTTGTCCTTGTTATATTGAAGTAGAAAGCTGCTTTGAGGATTTGTTTTCAAGATTGATTCAGGGATCCTCCAGCTTAAATTATATCTGACTCCCAGTTTATTTGACTGCATCAGACAAAGTGAGCTCCATTATGTGGTTGGTTATTGCACCTGAGCTCAAAAGTCTATTGATACGTAATTCGAGGACATACATCGTGCCGTCAAACCGCAGTTCTCTTTCTTGTGCGCACAGGAACGGAGGAAAAGGCCGCTTTGGACGGACAATACCGATTACACGCATTTCTTCAACAGATGCAGATCATTGGGATATTCACAATGTATGCAGATTCATGCCACTCTTTTCCGATTGGTACAGTCGCTCAGCACGGAGTATATCCTTACCGACATTAGCATCGCCACAGTACCGTGTTTTCGACTGCCTGGGCGTGGCTTTGGCGAGTATGGGATAAAATTCAGGGCCCCCATCCCGTAGGACGCTAGCTAGGTGGTACAGTTAGTTAACGAGGAAGCGACGCACGTAGATTTGTGGCGTTGTGGGCAGAGCTTCGTGGGAAGAAGATGCCCTGAAAGATGCACATGATGTAGGCCACCCTGATCGTCGGTGACGACCTGGTTCATTAATTACTCCGTACTCCTTACATCGGATGTTCTATTGCAGACGGCTCATTACCATGTCTAAAGAGTGCAAATGCGTGATTCCCTATCATTGCGTGTGAGGTTGTCTGCTCGATTTTCCCCTGAGATTTTCTTCCCTTATATTGGCAGGAGCTAACTATGCTTAGATAAGCCGACCTTTGTGATATATCACGTGCTCTTCGCCAAGAGATACAAGGTTAGCCGCAACTCTAAAGTACAACCTGAAACTCTAAAATCTTCCAAGTCCAGTTACGTAAAGCAGACAACGCACGAATGAGCTTCAAGTTGTTTTGTTTTTTCTCTGGTTATCTATCCGTCTCTCCAAACACCCAAAAATATGAAAAGCGTAACCTCCAAGTACGCAACATTGAATGACCTCGCTCTGCCCTCCATCATAAATTGAGCCTATACGTCATATTTACTGAAGATGTCTCTTTCTGCACATGCAAACTCTGCGTCAATCGTTTCCCGATGGCGGTCAGAGCGGAGGCAGATCTTCACAGGGAATGGCTTTGCACAGCGCAGGAAACCATCTGTATAGCCAGTGGCAGGGTCGGTGTTGATAGGAAGCGGTCGACCTTGGGCATCACTCATAGGAGAAATATCAAAGGCCCAGAGAATCTTCGCCACTGCAAGGAAAAGTCCTCTTTCAGCCAAGTGAATACCAGGACAAATGCGCCGACCGGACCCATACGCGTAGTGATCGCGGTTTTCATAATCCGGAGAGGAGGCGTATGTCGGTGCGAGATCAACACGCCCCTTATACCTCAGTGGGTTAAATTGGTCTGGATTGGCATGCTTGCGGCTGTCATGGTGCAATCCCCATATGTTGGGTATAACGGTCGAGCCAGCGGGGATTGTCATCCCGTCGATCACGGTTTCTACAGGGTATATGCGTGTTAGTTGGGCATGAGTGATGTGGAGGTCATGTCAAGATCATCGTTCACCTTTACTGGTAGCGTGTGGAAAAGCCGTTGGCAGAACCGGGCGCCATCTCATCGTCTCTTTGATAACCATCGCCACGTATGGTAGATTCGCATAGTCGCTCCATTCTGGGGACCGGTCTTCACCGATTTTTTCATCAATCTCTTTTTGCGCTTCCTTTTGAACGTCAGGATATAATGCCATGGCCTGGATAAAGGCAATAGTCATGATGGATGTTGTGTCAGAGCCTCCTTCGAGAAGGTTGCCAACCATCAAGTCAATTTCATGCCTAGTGAGCCGGAGCTTTTCTTGTTGGTCCAAAACCATATCTAGGTAGCTCTCATGAGATTCTGAGCCTGACTCACGGCGCTTCAGGACGCGGTCAACAAGAGGGCCATATACCTTGTCCATAGTTTCGGCAACTTCTCGCGCCCGTGACTTCCAGTTGTTAAAGAACGACTCTGGGAGCCATGCAAGGAAGGGGAAAATATCAATTGGTGGCGTAGCACCTGGCTCAAAAATTTCCGAGAGACCGTCTAATACGGCATACAGGTGGCGCATATGCGGGGCAGAAGCTGCTGGCGTTCGAATGCCAGTAACTAAAGCTGTCTGTCAGTCTGGAGGTACTTCCAAGCATAGGTTATATGTTTCATAATGATACCCACCAAGGCTCATAGTAGTGCTGTTCGTGAACCGTTTGCAATGATCCATAAAGCCGCCAGGTTGAACATAGAGGTCTCGCAGTAACTGGACTGCTTCGGCATTTTGGAGGAAGATGTGTTTCCTCTCACAGACCGTTTCATTGAAATATTGATGGTAAAGTCTTCGCCCGCGTCGCCATCGAGCATCCGGGCCCATGAACATGAGATGGTCGCCATGCATAACAAGATGGTCAGCGATATAAAACTTGGGTCTTTCGCTGTATATGGCAGACTGTTTATCTATCAACTGTTTGATCATATAAGGAGAGTTGAGTACAACAGCCGTCCCTGGTCCAATCTTGAGCGAGAAAATAGGGCCATATTTTGCAGCCCACTCTGTAAACCTGCCAAACAATTCGTTAGTTGCAATGGGTTAGAATCTAGGCGCTATATGCATACTTCAAATGCGCTCCGGTTATTGGAATCTGATGTAAATTGCCTATTATTGGGAGACAGGAGGGCCCTGGTGAGGCAAGTGATCAGTAGTTAGATCTACGTTATATTCACTTGATATAAACACACCAGGCGGAAGCTTGCGATTTCTAAGTCCCGGGAAATGACCCTCAAAGAGAGACCAAAGGGCGATTAGAATAAGGATAAAACCGTATATCCAGATAGTGTCCATTGTCGGTGAGTTAGAAAATTGATGACTCAAGAATTTTTTCTGGTTCAGCGCCTTCTTAACTCATTCCTTTGACTCTGTCTGCCAGCTATCAATAACTGTATTTAACACTGACCACTATAACTAATTCACAAGACATCTATAATAGCAGTGTTGATTGATCAACAATCCCACCCACCTGCCGCTCATCCCACACGGCTCGGGACATAACTAGTTAGTCAACTAGTTAGTTTACCAAGCTTTCTAACTCTAGCCTCAAAAACAGGCAAAGCAAAACTTGAGAGCTGGCTATTTAAGAAGACAAGCGAGGATCAAGATTCATTGCAATACTGAATTCACAGTTTATCCTTATTATCCTTGTCTCTTGTTCACTAACAATCTCCACACGATTTTCACTATGTCTGCTCTATCATTCCTCTACTCCCAGATATTCGTTCGTCTCCCACCTCCGACGCATGATTTCACTGGGCAAACCATTGTCATCACTGGCGGCAATGCAGGACTTGGGCTGGAAGCTGCACGGTATTTCCTTAATCTGAACGCATCTGAGATCATCCTTGGTGTTCGAAGCCTGGCAAAGGGTGAAAATGCGATTAAGGATTTGGAAAGCTCCACCGGACGCTCTGGTCAAATCCGCCTCTTTCATATAGATATGGAAAACTATGCATCCGTTCAAGAGTTTGCTGCAGGTATTTCCGAAATTCCTAAGATTGACGTTCTCCTGCTCAACGCCGGAAAGATGGAGCAAAAATTTTATATGGCGGAGGAAGATGAGAGCACGATCACAGTCAATGTTGTTAGCACCTTTCTGTTGGCCTTGTTGTTACTGCCAAAGCTTCGCGCATCAGCTACCGAGAACGGACCAATTCCTCGACTCTGTATTGTCGCATCTGACCGGCATGTCATGACCAATTTGCCCGAGTGGAAGACACCCAACACGTTCGTCGCTTTGCGAAAGCAGACTAAGTCGGGGCCTGACGATAGGTACTACTAAAACTGATTGTCTTAGTTATAAGCTGAACAGAAAGCTAACTGATAATAACAGATACTATGCCTCGAAACTGCTCCAAGTGCTATGCATGAGGGCACTGGCAGCTGATATTGCCTCCACTAACCCGCGAGTTGTTGTCAACGCCTTTACTCCAGGATATTGTCTTACGAACCTAGTTGATGGGATGACAGGATTCTGGGGATTCCAGCTCCAGGTAATAAAACTGATAGCTCGCACGGCCCAGGAAGGTTCCCGCACTTTGGTTCATGCCGCTAGCTTGGGATGGGAAGGACATGGGCAGTATCTTAATGACTGCAAGATTGACGAGTAAGTTTCTTCAAAAATGGTTTCTGGTGTAGCTAGAGCTAATAAAGCAGGGGTGCTTTATCAAAATTTGTCAAGAGCGCAGAGGGTGCACAAGCGCAGAAGAAGGTTTGGGGGGAACTTCTAGAGAAATTGGAAAGAATTTCTCCAGGAATATCTGGCAACGTTTAATAGGATGGTTACTGTAGCAGTGAATGAGTACCACAGCCACACATACCAGAGAGCACTGCCGATGGGAGAGATATTATAATGGGTATATTTCTAGTTTCGTAGTTTTTCTTTGTTTTTCCCTGTCTCCGATGGGATTTTGGTGGGATGAGGGCAAACCGAACATGTATATAGTTGTACCGAATTCGCGGAGTCCCCAGAATTATTTCGTAACAATCGATGAGAATAAACGACGTCACGATGATGCTTGATCTTGCAGGAGTAGCAGTAATTACAGGTGCAGGTGAGAATATATCTTAGACGCAAGCTCATATTAACAAGGTCTAACATGAAGTAGGGAGGGGTATTGGACTTGAGTGTGCTCATGCGTTTGCTGCAGCAGGCGCGGCGGGAGTCGTATTCGCCGACCTAGACTTATCTGTCGTCCAGGAGAAGGCAGAGGAAAGCAGGGCAATAGCGACAAATCCTGCATATAAACCGCTTGCAGTTGCTGTGGATGTAACTGACAAGAAACAAGTTGAAAATATGGTTGCTCAGACCCTCGAGACCTTCAACAGGATTGACTACAACGTCAATTGTGCTGGGGTATGATATCAGTTTCAAGCAAGCAGGCTTTCAAAATTAAACTAAGTTTGAAATTGCAGGTGGCTATGCACAAACCAACTCATTTCATGGATCTATCAATTGAGGAGTGGGAGAGGGTCAGCCGGGTAAATGTGCAAGGCGTGTTCCACTGCATGCAAGCGGTTGGGAAAGTAATGAGGACGCAAGAGTCGCTTAAAACGTCTGGACTCCATGGACCGCGGGCGGGACAACGGGGTTCGATAGTCAACCTGGGGTCTATTCATTCATCTCAGTCGGCTCCTGGGACCGCCCAATATACGGCTTCCAAACACGCAGTAGTAGGCCTGACCAGGTCTTGTGGTACGATGCATCCATATTCCTCTGCTCTCCCATCATAATGTTGTTCAAATCTAATCTAACAAAAATTGAATATCCAGCCCTAGACTTTGCAAAAGAAGGTATACGTGTGAATGCTGTCTGTCCCTCATGGGTCAACACACCAATGATAAACAGCAACGAAGTCCTTGCGGAAGTTCATCAAGTCATCGGGAATGTTGTACCCTTGGGGCGTATTGCAGAAGCAGAGGAGGTAGCAGACGTTATTTTGTTCCTTTGCAGCGCTAGAGCGAGCTATGTCACCGGTGCCGCTTGGATGGTGGATGGTGGCTTCTCCTGTGCCACAGTGTTATAGTTGTTTTGCTGCTCGCTGGCTGTTGGTGCTGTTTGCCATTTGTTGGTAAAATTGCGATTAGTTTTGAATTCGAATAAAGTTTTTACTCAGCGAGGAAGATCCCGGCCGAACCTTAGTTAACTAGTTATTGCGAGTCTGTGCTTAAGTTGACGTCGGTTCACAATCCCAACAACACACAGTTGTACAGAAACTACTGTTAGATATACCATGAAATCATCTAGGACTAAACAGAGGGATGATCTAATTTTCTATAGGTTTGGTTATTTAATTTTGTTAGGTACCCAGCACTCAGCTAACATCTTATGCTCAGGCTAGCGGTAATCGGTGGCTGCAGACACAAACCTTTCGAATCGACGACAGCTCGCATTGAACATCGACAGTCGCTCACAAGACCATGGGATCAGCTGAGATAGAGCGGACCTCCCTAGAATTGTGCCCCGAATAGATGCACTACCACCTTCCCGTATCCAGTATTGAACCGCTTCATCCATGCCGCTCACTCCAGACAGTTCCACCGCAGCGCTATCCTCAACCAGAGATATCGTGCATTCAGCGTTGTAGGCACACAAGACAATACAACTATACAACAAAGCTATCGGTCTCAATGGATTCCAATATTTGTAGTATTCTGGCCATGAAGCACATGTTTTGCATTCAGACTTCTGCTGCAGCTGGGCTGCATGGAATACTGCTTTGCGCCCATGAGCGGAATCTGCCCATGCTCGAATTGCCCTACGGGACTCTATTTCTTGCCGAGAATTACCACCGCGCTGGCTTTCGAGAAGAGAAATATCTGCATGAATGTTGAGAAGCGTCAAGTGGAATAAGGTCAAGTTCAGAGTGAGCCAAAAGTGTTGTGATTCCGAACGGCCTGTGCAACATATATGCCCTCTTTTATATGCACCTTCGAGGTATGATTGGCAGTAGGACAAATGGTTTCTTTGGTAGCCGAGACTACCCTGTTGGCTTACCGGCATTAGAAATTCTGTGCCGGCGCCATCTTTCACTCCACGCAATGCTTGAATGGCTGACCATAAGTCCACTTGGATTGCACAAAGGGCCAAATGACTATCTAGTTCTTCAAAAGGCTGCCGCTGGTTATCAGGTAATTCACCGGCACTCTGAAAGATTTCCTGGACGGCAGATTGGAAAATGCACTTATCACGCCCCGCTGGTTCAAACCACTGAAGGCGATATCTATCCTCTGCTTTTGAAGCTCTCCAAAGGGTTTCAGTGACAGGGAGGGCAAGACGGAGTTCTTGAAAGCGTACAGATGGAGGACGATGTATGGCGATGCTGAAATATACATCCAGCCGAAGGACGGCGTAAGCCATTCTGCGATGGTTAGAATATGCACTACCAGTGTCTTTGTGGGATACACACCTCTTGACTTCTTCTTCACACATCCACCTGTCTTCTTCCAAGTTATCCAGTGGCACCCATTGCCCGGAAAACATCCCCATGCGCCGCATTGCAGATATAGCTACATCAGTGCCCTGCGCAGCCCAATGGGCGGATTCCGACAAAATCTATCACAGTTAACATTCGATCATGCATTCCATTCAAATATGGGCCGTACATCTTCAGCAGTAAACGATATCAAAACTATCACAAGAGCTTGGATAGCTCGAAATGTCTCGGTTAGTCTGGAGTCAAGGCCTTCCTGTGACAATCTCTATGTTAACCCTTGAATGTCTGGTCCAAGCAGTGCCAGCATACTACATACCGGGCCGGCTACCAAGTGCCTCATCAAATCCGTCACCAGTTTGTTCCGCTCATTATTTTTTGACAGCGGCCATTTGACTAATTTCAGAGCCTGTGAGACCCACGGGTATTGGTCTGCTCGTTCCAGAGTAGAGTGGTGGAGAATTCCCCATGCCTCGTGAAACACTGTTTCGGGGAGGCAAGTCTGTCCCATGCTGGTTAAGGAATCTGGCGTTTGTGGTAATACTGGCTGGCATTGATTATCGTCTTCTGTCGCGGGCAAAGCAAGCAAAGCCTCTACCAAATCAACGTCACAAGAAACTGGTCGGACTTCCGATGCCCACTCATTAACAGACGGCCAGTTAAATCTAAGAGTACCTGAGACCTCCCCGTCTGCTATAGTACTGATGGTTGAATGCTTCCGCGATGAACCAGGGGTATCGCCAGAGTCTTTATTGCAAGTCGAAGATGTGTCCCAGAGTGTATTAACGTGCAGTCCTATGGGGACTGCGTTTTCATCATGGGGCTCTTCGGCCAAGGCCTGTGGACGGGTGACCCGAGTGGGAGTAACTTGTGTGCTCGATGGAACCCGAACACAGGGCACCTTCAAGTGGGAGCACGTTAGGCAAGGGTCGCCAGAGTTGCACTTGGACTTCCTATGCCGGCATGTTTGGCATGCCACAAGTGTGCGCTGGACACCCTTAGACTCTGCATGGTGGATGGGCAGATGCCGCTCTAGAATGTCCCTGTAGGTCATCATTTTAGCCATCTTCCTTTCACTACTCGACTACATTAATGGTGGTTTAGCTTACCTTCTCGCAAACCTACGGTAACACAAATAACATTCATACGCCCGAATAGGGTCATGATTCCGTTGGTGGCGGTTAAGATGTTCCTTGCGAAGAAAGGAGCGGTTGCAATTTGTCACTGGACACTGGAAAGGCATTATTCTGACGCAAAGCAATCCTGGGTTTTGTTAGAATATTGAGGGGCCATATGCGAGTTATGGAAATTTTCTGCTCAAGATGCACAGAGCAAAGGTCCCCTGTGTTTAAACGGTTTCCACCTTTTTTTTTAACATTGATCTACCATCTCGCATAGGATCGACGCCATCGAAAGATATGCACCCGATATTTTCGATTCTAACTAACTTTATGCCCAGATAACGTTTGGGCGCCGTTCACCTACTTTCATGTTTGCCCCTAACACCAGTATGGACCGGACCCTCAAATAGTCCCTGTTCCCTGTCATATCGTGGAGCGGAATCCTCTTGCCATGCATGCAGTGGACCGTTATGAAAGACCAAGCATCCCTCAGGGTAGCCAGGTGGTAGGAAATGCGATGGCAAGTATGGAGTACTATTTGTGCAAGACTGCAAGTAACTTGTCTTCTCCGCCATCTTCGACCTCTTTTTTCCCTCTTTACCGTCTCCCTTTCTTTCCTTTTTACCAGCCTATGATTTCAGCCCAGCCATAAGATATATTTAGTTGTGGCTGAAGCCACTCGCCTACTGCTCATCCAGCCCAAGATTTTTTATTTGCGCCTCCTGCCTTTTCTTCACTTTTCTTTTTCTTCTTCTTTTTTTCCCTTAGGAGGCGGCTGAATCTTGCCAGACGCCAACAACACCTCCATCCATCCCTCCCCGGAACATTCAGCGCCAGACATGAGGGGAACAGTGCAATGCATGTGGATTAGTCACTGCTATATGGTCCGTGTAATAGATACACGTCATCGCTTTCATTTGGATGTGCTTTCACCCGTACAGGCGCCTTTTATTGCTCAGATACAACGAGTTGCACAAGCAAAAAGGAGGTATCTAACCTATATTATCCCCTCACTGTTACTAACCACGTACGGAGTACAAAACATGACGTTGAGATTCATAGGTGAACGATGATCTTACCAGAATAAAAGATGGCTCTAATGGATATCCATTTCCACTGATCTTTTCGCAGCCAGCCAACTATATCCTGTGACATATTCGACTTTTCTCCGTCGCCATCGATCATTATGACCTAAGCTTTAACCCAAGCCATTCATCTCGGACCACATTTACTTTGGATAAGCCACTATTCTTCATTCTCCCAAGCGGTGTGGTCACAAAATAGTAGGTACAAACATCTAGAGAGCCGATGGGATGAACACTGTTCCCGGTGGGGGAGGGGTCCGGCGTCTAGCAGGATCTGCATACCCATCTACTAGCAATCTTGTGCCCGATGGAGGCAATCTTTGCTTTGAGAGCGGTAGACTCAATTGAAATGATAATACCTTTTGCAGTTATATATACTCTCCCTTTGATGAAGACCACAGCATCTCAAAGGACAGAATTCCTCAGCGTGGATTGGCTTATTGTCTCACAGCTTCCTTCAAATATCTCAAATGTCTTCTATCATTACAAATACACCATGCTCAAATTCAGAAGCCTGTACTGATTCCCCTGTGACTGCGTACAGCGCCGAGGTATGCCAGCCCATTGTAATAATCTCACATGAACTTACTAACTAGAAGCCCAGGATCAATGCAAAGATGTAGCAGTTATTGGCATGGCGTGCCGCGTTCCTGGCGGCATACAAGACTCTGAACAATTATGGCAAGCACTCCTGGGACAAGTGGTTGCATGCGGAGATATTCCCGCACATCGCTGGGAGCCGTATTATAAAAGAGATTCTCGCAACAGAAAGATTTTAGACCAAACAACCAGACGGGGATATTTTGTCGAAAATATCGACGATTTTGACTATCAATTCTTCGGCGTTTCGCCCAAAGAAGTTGAACAAATGGATCCACAGCAAAGAATATCGCTTGAAATTGCTTGGGAGGCGTTAGAACACGCCGGTATTCCATCAAAATCACTCAGTGGTAGTGACACGGCTGTTTTCTGGGGTGTTAACTCAAATGACTATTCAAGACTGGTTTTGGAAGACTTGCCTAATATTGATGCTTGGATGGGTATCGGGACTGCATATTGTGGAGTCCCGAACCGGATATCCTATCACCTAAATTTGACTGGTGCAAGCGTTGCTGTTGATGCTGCCTGCGCCTCTTCCTTAGTTGCTGTGCACCACGGCGCGGCTGCTATTGCGACAGGAGAATCAAGAATTGCAATCGTTGGGGGCGTGAATGCTCTTTGCGGGCCTGGACTTACTCGGGTTTTGAACAAGGCTGGGGCTGTCTCCCCTGATGGACAATGCTGCTCATTTGATGAAAATGCGAATGGCTACGGCCGTGCAGAAGGTGCGGGAGCCGTCATTCTCAAAAGTCTTTCACAAGCACGGCTTGATGGAGATCATATCCTTGCGATTATCAAAGGTACCGCAGTCGGCCATAATGGGAAGACAAATGGTATTATGGCTCCTGATTCCAAGGCACAGCAACTTGTGGCTAGGAATGCATTAAAAGCCGCGAACATCAACCCTCTCACCGTTCGCTACGTCGAAGCCCACGCCACATCTACAGCACTTGGAGACCCAACGGAAATTACTGCCCTTGCTGAGGTATACGGAAAAGGGCGTTCTATCAATAGTCCTTGTTATATTGGCTCTATCAAGCCAAACATAGGGCATTTGGAAGCAGGGGCTGGAGTTATGGGTCTCATTAAGGCTATTTTGATTGTCCAAAGAGGGCTGATACCGCCCCAGGCAAACTTGAAAACACCGAACACGAAGATAAAATGGAATGACTCCGGTCTAAAAGTCGTTCAGGATCTAACAAACTGGCCAGATGAAACGGAGCCACGCCGCGCTGCAGTGTGCTCTTATGGATATGGTGGGACCGTGTCTCATGCTGTTATTGAGGAGTTCCAGGAATTCACTCCAATCCTCCATAATGAAATAGGGGCCAAGGATTCATCTAATGGTCACCTACTTTTACTTTCTTCTCCACAAGAACAACGCTTAAAGACTCTCGCTGGATCACTCAGGACTTGGATCGGACAACAGGACGAAACTCACTTTGATCTCGCTAAGTTTTGCAAAACTCTTGCCGGACACCGAAGCCATTATGATTTCAGGGTATCGGCAATTATAGACGATTTTGAAGGCGCCATAACTGCATTGGATTATATATGCAAAGGAACAAATGACCAATGGATTACTCGAAGCCGTGTTCTCCCATTTGATTTGGCGAAGGGCGTCGTCTGGGTCTTTTCTGGTCATGGAGCGCAATGGACCAACATGGGGAAAGAGTTAATAAATAACGACATTTTCCACGACGCAATTCAACCTCTTGACAAAATCGTTGAGGACGAAATCGGGCTGTCTCCTATTGCATGGCTTCGAGATGGTGATTTCAATTCCTCCGATCGCGTGCAGATTTTGACATTTATTGTACAACTTGGAATAAGCGCCTTACTGAAGTGCCGTGGCATCCACCCACAAGCAGTTATCGGTCACTCTGTAGGAGAGATAGCTGCCTCCGTGGTTGCCGGTGCTCTTTCGCCAGAAGAGGGCACCTTGATTGTGACTCGCAGAGCCCTTCTATATAGGCAAGTTATGGGCAAAGGGTCCATGTGCCTAATATCCAAGTCTTACCAAGGGGTCCGCGAAGATCTTGGGGAAGCCAGCGATGTGGTAGCGGCTATTGACTCTTCCCCATCATCTTGTGTAATTGCAGGCACAAACGATGGTGTGGCCGCCTTAACTGAGAAATACCAAAAACAGGGAATCAAAACATATACAGTGAAGACCGATATTGCATTCCACAGCCCAACCTTAGACCAACTGAGAGAGCCTCTTACAGATATGCTGAAGGATATACTACGTCCCGTTCATCCACACGTGAGGCTGTACTCTACTTCACTATTGAACCCACGCGGCTCGAATCCTCGGGATTCTACTTATTGGGTCAACAATATGACCAACCCTGTGCGCCTTACCTCTGCCATCCTTGCTGCTGTTGATGACGGTTACCGAAGGTTTGTAGAGATATCTAGCCATCCGCTAGTCTCACATTCAATCAACGAGACATTGATGGACGCTGGTATTGAGGACTACTCCGTGATGCACACCCTTCGACGAAATCAGCCAGCTGAAAAGAGTATACTCCATGCCATCGGCCAACTTCACTGCAGCGGGGTAGAGTTTAACTGGCAGAGCCAGATGCCAGGTCCGTGGATGCAAAATGTACCCCTGAGCCCGTGGGTTCATCGCCCAATTGTGCAGAAAAAACTAGTACAGGGTACTGTGGGTATGGTAGCAGACATGCACGATGTTGACACGCATACTCTCTTGGGTCGCCGCACTGCAATAGCTGGCACAGATTTGGTTGTGCATTCGACAACACTGGATAGCACTACGAAGCCCTTCCCAGGGAGCCATCCAGTATTCGGTACGGAAATCGTTCCAGCTGCCTGTCTGATTAATACATTCTTGAAAGGGACCGGTAACTCTTCATTAAAGAATATCATACTCAGAGTCCCTGTGGCTACCAGTGGATTGCGGGCCGTCCAGATAGTCATACAAGGTGACGAAGTGAAGCTCATGTCTCGTCTAATACAGAATGAGAGCGTGGGGGAAAGTTCATGGGTCACGCACACCGAATCTCGTTGTACAGTACGCACTGAAGCCATTACAGAAGTAATTGATGTGCCTGAGTCCAAGTCTCGTATTGGAACACGGCTCAATGATGACTTTACAATTGACTACCTAGCCAAGGTTGGGGTTGCGGCTATGGGATTCCCCTGGAAGGTTACAGAGCATTATGGCAACTCAGACGAAATGATAGCAAGGGTGGATGTTTCTCCCACTACCGTGAGCCTTGATTGGGACCAGTCATCTTGGGCCCCTTTCCTAGATGCCGCTACTTCAATTGGATCTACAATATTTTTCTCTGAACCCCGACTACGTATGCCAGCTCAGGTTCAGGGGGTGGATATCTTGACCACGCAGGATCCACCTAAGACAGGTTGGATATACGTCAAGAGGGATGCTGACGTTGAATACTCCTGTCACGTTTATATACTCAGCGAAGACTGCCGGTTGCTTGCGAAATTTACTTCCATGCGGTTTTCGGAAATCGAGGGCACACCCGGCGCAAGCGGAAGCATGTCCAGCTTAGTTCACCGCGTTGCTTGGCCTCCAGCATGTCCTGCAGAGGAGCCCATACCAATACAGAGTATTATTCTGATTGCTAAGTGCAATACCACGCGAGATACGTATGCCAAAACACTACCAGCCAAGATCCAGTTAGAGCAGCTTGCAACTCCAGAAGCTCTACAAGATCTGTTACCGTCTCTTGAACACAAGAGAGGGGCAGTCGTAGTGTATATCCCAGAAGAAGTCCGGTCGCTACAAGAGGTGCCTACAGCCGCTGAGAAATTTACCTGGCAGCTACTGGAGATAACTAAATATGTTACTAAAAACTCTTTATCTACCAAAATATTTGTGCTCACCACTAATATGATGGAGGCAGAAACCCCAACTGCACTCGCACACTCGCCACTGTTGGGACTTAGCAGAGTTATTGCTAGCGAACATCCTGATAATTTCGGAGGCCTTATTGATGGAGAACAGTATACTGTGCCTCTTCCAGTTATGAAGTACATCCAGGGGGCCGATGTCATTCGTATTATGGATGGGATCCCGCGAACAGCTAGACTCCGTGCTCTACCCCGAGACTGTCGAAACCAAGAGGCTCCCAAGGCTCTTCCCCGTCCCGAGGGAACCTATCTGATTGCTGGTGGTTTGGGTGTCCTAGGCCTGGCCGTAGCCGAATTTCTAGTCAGCCACGGCGCTCGACGGCTTGTACTTATTTCCCGGCGCGGACTACCGCCACGGAGAACCTGGGAACATGCCGACCAGGAGCTACAGCCAGTTATATCCAAGATCCGGGATCTTGAGCAACATGGCGTGTGCGTCCATGTTTTAACTTTGGATCTCTCGACTCCCCAAGCTGCAGGGCGTTTACTGGAGAAATTGGACCAGTTGAATCTTCCTCCAGTATTGGGCGTTGTCCATGCGGCAGGGGTGTTGGAGAATCAGCTTATTCAGGATGTCACACAAGATGCGTTTGCTCGCGTCCTCGCACCCAAGGTTGCTGGGTCATTAGCTTTGCATGAGGCGTTCCCTCCTGATTCACTCGACTTCTTCGTTCTCTTCTCATCATGCGGTCAATTGTTTGGATTCCCTGGCCAAGGTGCTTATGGCAGCGCCAACACCTTTCTAGACACCTTGGCTACACACCGCCGTAATTTAGGTGAGAATGCCATTTCATTCCAGTGGACGGCATGGCGAGGAATGGGTATGGGCAGCGATAGTGACTTTGTTGCTGCAGAGCTGGAGAGCAAAGGTATCACTGATGTGACCGGACACGACGCCTTCCAAGCCTGGCTATACCTCATACAGTTCAATACTGACCATGGAGTTGTACTACGGAGCCGTTCTTTCGAGGACGGAGAACCGCTTCCGAGTCCCTTACTCAACGACATCGCCATTCGTCGTGCTCGATCTATAGCTGGCGCACCAAATGCCACCGAGGGCGGTCCCTTGGCCGGCGCCAGTAACAAGATTCCATCCTCCGGGCCAGAGCTCAAGTCATACATTGACGAACAGATCCGCGAATGCGTTGCCAGCGTCCTTCATCTACCGTCAAAGGACGTTGACTCGAGAGTAGCACTAGCAGATCTAGGGCTGGACTCGGTGATGAACACCGCCCTTCGACGGCAGCTTCAACGCACCTTCAAGGTAAACGTCCCGCCCACATTAGTCTGGAGTTACCCAACAATTAAGCATTTGGTTGGTTGGTTTTTTGAGAAATTGGCTAAGTGAGGGAAGATATTGCTTTTCTCAACGTTTCTGTTGGTTTTTTTTTTTTTTTTTTTCATTTATTCTCGGGGTTTTTTCGGCTTCGTTTCTTTTCTTCCTTGTTCTTTTTTTTTTCTTTTTTCCCACCGATGATATAATAGAAATACTCAATGATAGATAGATGTAGGATGGCGGAATAGATCCGGGAGACCAACCCCATTAGACAGGTCTCCATAGCTAACGAATGAATGCCCAATTACCAGTTTGTGCCAAAATCGTTGAGTTAGCTAACTAGTTATCTCTCGTAAAAGCATCCCGAGAGAGATTTCGTATTATTCTTCCAATGATAATGACAGCACCAGCTGCAAAACTTCTCCAAGCACTGTACTGAATATGCGGTGACACCTTATCAGATTTTAATCTGAAGATTCACAACAAGCGATGTCGATCACTATCAGATCCCCATTCTGATACGTCCAAGAGACCCGTTGAGGCTCGCTTGGCGTCCGCCTCCTTTATTTCAACCTCGTCCATCGTCCACACGCAAAAACTTCTTGCTTTCCACCATCTAAATAGTTCCAGCTGACTCTCCCCGTATTATACCCATAGAGTGGCGGCTTTCCCTGCTGCCAGTGCAGTAATAGCAATCATGATCTGCAAGAGGCAGAAGCTCCCGCCAGATCTAATAGTTAACCAGTTATGATGCAAGAGAGCTGCTGAGCATGCGCCTGCACAGCTGTGACAGATAAACGCCCACCGGCTTCAATAGTGTGACCTATACCGATTCTTTCGTGCCGAAACTTTGACGCCAATGGCTGCGGACGAATATTTAAGACCTGCTAACTGGAGAGATGTCGTTGCTTCCTGCGCTGAGGGCAGCTTCCCCCTCCCAAGATTGAGTTGAGCCCGACCCAAGGAAACGATAGCATTCTGACGCCGATGGGATGACATAGAGGAAAGCCTATCTAGCAAGCTGCCGTTAGTTATCGGGCCACCTGTTCCGGTTGTTCACACGAAAGAATAAAGCTGTTTTGCTGCTTGCTCTATATTACTCATCTCGTCGCATCCTCTTTTCTCTCACGGACTACAGCAACAACATCACTAGCCTCATTCTGGAGCAGGACTCCCCATGCCCATGGCCGCCTTTCTCCCCAGTACAGCGTTTGGTAGCTGTATCCGCTGGCTAACCAACGGCCGCCTATTCCAGTTCCCGGAGGAACAGCCCGGGTTTCAGCTACCGCCGAAATATTCATCTGCCGTGGAGCGAGCAGCACAGCAGTCGGGGCCACAGTCAACTGAAGGCGCCGATGGACAACAAAATGACAATTCGCCATCGCCAGATCCATCTTCGCCTAGTGCTGAGAGCGGAGATCGGTCGGTAGATATCGAGAAAAGCGCACAACACAACGAGTATCAATGGATCAGCCCTGAGGTCACGCCTGATGGAACGATATTAGTCGGATGGTATTCAGATACCGACCCGGGCAACCCTCATAACTGGCCATCATGGTTGAAATTTCTGGTATATATCCAGATCAACTTTTATACCTTTGTCATCTACATGTCCTCCTCGATTTTCTCCATCGTTCAGCAAGAATTCATGGTAATCTATGGTGTCCCTCAATCGGTGGGCTCTCTTGGGCTCGCACTGGTCCTCCTGGGCTATGGAATTGGGCCGCTGCTTTTCAGTCCCATGTCAGAAATCACAGCTCTGGGTCGCAACCCTCCATATGTAGTCACCCTGATTATTTTTATGGTTTTAACCGTGATCACCGGGGTGGTTAATAATGCGCCAGGATTTCTTGTTCTACGCTTCCTCCAGGGGTTCTTTGGCTCTCCGTGTCTGGCCACGGGAGCTGCATCGCTGGCGGATGTGACAAGCCTCATCAACTTGCCATACGGCCTTTGGATCTGGGGTACATTCGCAACCTCTGCTCCCGCGGTCGCGCCTACGATTGCTGGGTTTAGCTCTGTAGTCAAAGGTTGGCGCTGGTCCATGTGGGAAGTTCTCTGGGGCACAGTACCTTGCTTAATACTCCTAGTTCGTTGTCCTTTTTCTCACTTTGATTGCTTTAATCAAAGGCACGGTATTAATTATTTTCCAGTTCTTTCTCCCAGAAACCTCGTCCGAGACAATTCTCCACCGACGTGCGAAACGCCTTAGAAAAGCGACGGGAAACAACGCCTTCAAAGCTCCCTCTGACCTCGACCCGTCCAAATCATCTATAACCGCCATCATAAACCAAGCCCTAATTATTCCCTGGAAAATTAATGCCTTAGACCCCGCCATCCTCTTCACTACAGTCTACACCGCACTGGTTTATGCCATCTTCTACTCCTTCTTTGAGGTCTTCCCACTTGTCTACCTCGACATATACCACATGACCCTACCACACATGGGACTTGTATTTCTCACTGCCATCGTTGCAGCTCTAACGATCATGCCATTCTACTTCGTCGTTACCCATTTCGCTATTTCCAAACCCATTCTAAGCGGCACCTTCCCTCCACCAGAACGCAGACTCCTACCGGCACTACTCGGCTCTCTGCTCGTGCCCATGGGTATGTTCCTATTCGCCTGGACATCACGCAAGGAAATCCACTGGATCGTACCAACACTGGGATTTTTCTTCATTATGGCCGGTGTCATCACCCTACTCCAATGCATGTTCGGGTACATGGCAGTGGCATACCCGAAGTACGGCGCCAGTCTCTTCGCCATGAACGACTTTGCCCGGTCCAGTCTGGCATTTGCATCGATCTTATGGTCTGGTCCGCTATACCGGAATCTCGGAATAGCAAAGGGGACAAGCTTAATCGGTGCGTTGACGGCTGCTTGTGTGGTCGGGATATATGCTCTGTACCTGTACGGGCCCGCGTTACGAAAGAGAAGTCGATTTGCGGAGTAAAACCGTTGAGATGATTGATGAGGGTTTTATACGCTTATTTTATTTTAATGACTGACTAGTTAACTAGTTGTGTACGATGTTCGGTCCCACGCACTGTAGATTAGGATTTATGCAGAAGATAACTAACTAATGATAATATGTGTAACTGTACGGCAGTTACTTCTACTTACTTGATTATTCCACAGCCCCCAACCTATAGCTCTACAGTCAATTCATGCCGTATAGTTACATGGCATCTACTTCTTAACTAGACCATATTATGCTCGTCGTCCAGTTCAAAATAACAGGGATGGTGGAGCAAGTTGGTCGACGGGACAGGCCGCAACCTTAACCAGACGCTTGGGGCAGCAGGTGTCAAATTGCCTTGATCCTTACGAACACCACTTGACTGACACATATCCTCGATATCAGCATGAATAACAAGAACATATTGGGTTTTTTTTGCGTTCGATAACATCCTAATTCTAGACTAGAGAGGATCTTTCTAGTTTACTTTTTGTGTGTTTTGAATCGATGTCATGCCGGGTCTTCGTACCCAGGCCCAGAACCGAAGCCCATCTCTCTTGCAGAATCCATAACCATTAATTATCCCTATCCATGCCCATGCCCATGCCCATACCTAATTAATTAGCCCCTTCTTCGGTCTTTAAATCCATTCCATCCATTCCATCCATTCCACCCCCGTTCAAGTTCGCTTATTTTCCATCAAGAGCAACAGGGCGGTTTAGATGCAATGCGTTGAATGAAGGATGTGATGTAATGTGTTTATCGTCCATGCTGAGTAGTCTTGCCGTCACTTCTATAGAAAGTGAGAGGAGGAAGCAGGTTGTCGCAAGGTGGTTAAGAGGGATGAATAGAGGGGAGTTGGGAGGTGGTGGAGAGGAAATGAGATGGATAGAATGGAGAGAAAATCGAAGAATGATCTGTTGATGTAGATATTCAGAATTCAGTTATTTTATGGGTAGGTACTTTCCCTCGGGCATAGAGGGAGTCACTATTCATTCCTTCATTGTTCATGGCGGATATGTATGTATGGTCTTTCTTGGGGAGTTTGTTTTCGAAAAAGGAGGCATGTTTCTCATATTACCTGTTGCCAGGGAGCCATGGAATGGAAAGATAGTGATGCTAAATGGGAAAAGGAAAAAAAGACAAAAGACAGGGCTTGGAAGGGGAGGCGAGGGGATAAATGGTGGGATGGAAGATGGGAGAGGTTAACATGTTGAAGGGTAGGTGGATGATGCCAGTGGTGCCAGAGTAGATGGGTTAATAGACGGTTAGGATATATCGAAGCTGCAACTATGCCTCTCTCATAGTGCGGAGAACACAAAGAGCTAATGCATCGAGTTAGCAATGGAGTCAAGCTTGGGTGACGAACGAGGGAATTGGGAGGAGAGGGCGGCCTTACATTATTAGTGGCAGCAATGGCAATGCTGTCTTCAAACGGATGCCAGCTCATGTGCAGGATCTTCTTGTTGAAATCAATCTGGTCAGCATCCGTCTCTTTCCTCATCCGTCCCCCAGCGCCGGACGGGCTGCCAGATCTCGAGCCGTTCTTCTTTCCAGCGTTAGTGGAAGCCGTAGAGTTGATTGGCGTCGGGACGCCGACCTTCTTAGCCTTGAAGGCCGTCTTATCCGCCTGCAGTACGACCTCTGTTTCCCTAGTGGGGTCAGTTGGGTAGATCATAAAGTTATTGTTATAGCTTCCCGTCATGACGTTTTGGGCGTCACCAGAGAAGACGACTTCAAATTTATCGAAGATGCTGTCGTTCTCGTAGGTGTCGCAGAGGCGTGGGCGGAGATGTTCGTGGATGGGGATAGTCTTTACGGGCTGACGCTCCATGTTGACATCCCAGATTTTGACGGTAAGGTAGTCACGGGAGAGAATGTAGCGGCCGTCATGGGAGAAGCGAACATCGGAGATGGAGGAGATGATTTCGGAGAAGAACGAGCGCGAGGTGACGTCTTCTTCTTGTTCGAATTCTAGAAGCTGTTAGCTAAGGTGCGACAGTAATTAAAGCGGAAGAAAGAAGAAATAAAAGAAGAAGAAGAAGAGAGGGAGAGGCGTACGTTTTTGATGTTCGTCACATAGAGCCCGCTGTCGCATGTCGGCAAGCTTAATGGTGCCCTTTGAGCTTGCGTACATGAACCAGTTACAGCTGGTGGGGTGGAACTCCGCAGCGGTGATGACTTCGGTCAATTCCTCCATGTTGGCAGGCTTGATGTCGACAATATTAAAGCTCTGGTCCTGGATGTTGAGATTCCACAGGTTGATGCGCAGGTCATCACTGCTGATAAAGGTCTCTCCATCGCTGTTGACTGATATGCTGTTGATATGGTACGCATGGGCGTTTGCATATATCCGTCTAGGCACGGCTGCGACGACGGTCTCATGGTGCGTCATTCGAGGGAGCTTGAGAGCGGACGAGTCCTTAAAAGAGACGCGGGGAGGGCGAGCGATGCCACCGCCGCTGACGACGCCGGCCGGGGTGAGGTCGCGGGACAGGTTGTTCTCCGCCACCACCTTGAGCGACTTGTCGAAGACCTTCCATAGTTTTATCGTCTTGTCGTTTGTAGATAGGAGATAATGCGATGCATTCTGCCGTCTACACCATTTTATCTTGTTGATCTTTTCCTCGATCTCTAGGGATTTGAGATAGTCGAACTCGGGCTCGTGGGATTGGAACTCTGTATGGAACTTGTACTCGCATGTTTTTTTCTATTTCCGAATGGTCAGCCAGCGGTCGACTTACCCCCAAGGGACAGGAGAAAAAAGGAGAAGGGAGCTGCTAACCGTCTCGTTTCTCTCGAACAGGACGACTCGGCCGCCTTTGTCTCCGGTAGCGAGATAGTTGCCGGTGTGGTCGAACTCGACGGTGGAGATGATATCAGCTAGACAGAGAGAGCGGGAGGCGTGAGTCGGCGGTTCAACAATCAGAAACAGTCGGAGTAGAACGCAAAAAGAACAAGAAAAAGAAAAATACCTTCTGTTATGTCCTCTACATCGCCTTTGTCGCCGAAGCACCTGTCCTAGAGGTCAGCAGCTCGATATCTTGCATGCGAGCGGGCGGGAGGCAGGGAAGAGACAGACTGTGTGAACTTCCAGGTGGGTGAACCTGGATCGCCGTCTACCATTGTTCGCTGTGTGTCGAGGCGGTCCGGTGCAAAGGCAGCAAACCCGTAGAAGGCAGAGGGAGTCGGTGCTCGAGAGACAAGTCGGCCGTAATGCGGTGTCTCAGCTGTGTGTCTGCCTGTCCTGGCGTAGCAGAAGGCTGGGCTGGTGTTGTCGTAGGAGAGTGACGGTCTGGGGGGGGGGGAAGTCGATGGTTCGGTGGTTGATGTTGTTTGGTGGTGGTCGCTTTCTTGGGGGGCGATAAGGCCAGGGAAGATAAAAAAAATCCGTTAACTAAGGGGGGGCTTGCTTGGTTAGTTGAGCTGGTGCGATGAACAGGACGAGCAGAAAGAGGACAGCGCAGGGCAGTTAATATAGGGCAGTTAGAGAAGAAGAAGAGGAAGAGCACAAGCTGGACTTCATCTGCCTGTCTGCCTTTACTCTCCTTTTTATGGCTGTCTTCCGCCTCTTTTGAAGCGTTGGTGGGAGGAGGAGAGCGAAGCAGCACAAGGACAACAGCTAGAAAGGAGCAAAGAGAAGAAGACACACAGACCAAGGGACTTGCCTACCAGGAGCAACGCGATAGCAGGAGAGAAGAAGTAGAAGAAGCAGAAGAAGCAGAAGAAGCAGAAGAAGCGCTGGGTGTAGTTGTTGTTCTATTCTGTTCTTGTTGTGTCTGTTGCAGTTATACGGAGGGAGGTAGGAGGTAGATGAAGCTGAGCTAGAGAGGCAGAGAAGCTGTTGGTTGTCAGTTAACTGTGCAGCTGGTGAAGTATTTAACGTGTGATAACAGCTGGCTAGCAAGTGAATGAAGCAGTGCATGAAGCAGTGAAGGAAGAGAAAGCTGTCAATTAACTGGCAGGCAAAGCAGCAGCAGCAGAGGTCAGGAAGACAGCGGGAGTAGCTAGGAAGAAGCAAGAGGAGAGCTACAAGACAAGACAGACAGACAGAGTGCGAAGAAGAGAGAGAGGGGAAGAGGAAGAGGCTTACTGTTGACTGGGTTGACTGGCTTTGTAGTTGTTTATGAAGAGAGAGCCAGAAGCTATCAAAGGGTGAGAAGGAGAAGAAGTAGAAGATGGTGATGATGAAGTTCAAGTCACTTGCGCTGGTCAGTCGAGTAGAGTCGAGTCAACCTGCGCCACAAGGCAGACAAGAGACAGACAGGAGACTTCACCTCAGCTCAACCTCAGCTCAGCGCAGACGGTGAATAGATGGACAGGATAGCTAGAAGGGTAAGCAGAGGATGTTATCTATCTAGTAGTAGCAGCTATAAGAAGAAGAGAAGCTTCACATGCTACACAGCACTTTGGCCGGTTGCATCATAAGTCCTCCTAGCCATAACTATATACCCAATGGACATACAAAAACCATCAAGAGATTTGAAACTCGATGAGACTCCTGTTTACAACTAGGTCCGGATTTGCCCTGGGGGCAGACTGCTTTAAATCCCCCCAGCCCAGAGCTGATGAGCACTGAAAAGGGAGATAGATAGGCGTGATACTACTGGGTATCAATATCACCCAGGGTCTTGAGTCCAATCGACCCTGTCGTAAGACGCTCTGGCAGTTAAACGCCAGGCTCGACATAGATAGAGATGATAGCTGGACGGAGAGGTCTTCTGAACCTCTCGCAGCTCAACGTCCCATCGGTCCTGGGCTTGACGAGATGTTTTTTGAGGCCCTCGATAAGCCCAACATCAATGATGAATCGTCGCGCAATTGGTTTGTTCCTTCTTCTCCCTTTGATAAGAAGTCAAGATGCTGACGTATCGAAGGGACTGGGGCGAATGAAGGGCTCTTTGAGTACACGTCCGGGCCGGTTCCTTTTTAACGAGCAGCGTCGCCTTGAGGAGCGCAGAGTCGAGTTTGATGTTGATGCTTTGAAGCGCGCTGCAGAAACCCATCTTGGGAGAGGCAAAATCACCAGCTTGACAAAGCTCGCTGAAGGCGGAGTCAACCGTGTGTTTCTCCTCACCACCGAAGATGGGTTCCAGGCAATTGCCAAAATTCCCTACAAGATCACTGTTCCAAACCACTATACAACCGCTAGCGAGGTAGCCACTACCGACTTTCTTCGATCGAAGGGAATTCCTGTCCCATATATATTCGGTTGGTCTGCTGATCCAAACAATCCAGTTGGAGTCGAATATATTATTATGGAAAAGGCTAGTGGAATTCCCCTGGAGACGAAATGGTTTAACCTGTCAAAGGATGAACGTCTTCCCCTTGTAACGAGTTTGGTCGATATTGAGAAAAAGCTGTTTGCTATCCCTTTTGGTCATTTTGGCAGTATCTATTATAGGACGGATGTTCCATCAGATCTGCAGCAAGACCTCTACATAAAAGACGCAGTGTCTTCCGCGGATGAACGATTTTGCATTGGCCCTACGGCAGATTATATGTTTTGGTATGGTAAACGCGCGGAGTTGGAGGTAGATCGTGGTCCATGTAAGGATTTCTAACGCGATCCCCCTTTTATACCCTATTAAATGAAGAATACCATTTAATTACTTTTAGGGAAAACCCCAAGCGATTATTTGACTTCTATTGGGAAACGGGAGTACGAGTGGACGTTGAAATATGGGAAACCCCGTCCCGTTCGTTTTCCCCATGTGGTCAACTTTGAAGGCATCAACTCTCCGGATGACCACATCCGCCTTCTTAGCCAGTATTGGCCGTGGCTCCCTACCTACTTAGTGGAGATCCCCACGGAAATATCAACCGCCCAACCTTGCGTCACCCAGGTGAGTCTTTCGCTATCCTATTTTAACGGAAATAATTGCTTATTGTGCCCCAGATCTTACTCCTGGAAACGTATTTGTATGCCCGGAAACACACAAGATCTCGTGTATTATCGATTGGCAACATGCTACTTTGCCTCCATTGCTCCTTGCCACGGGACACCCTCCAATGCTTCAGAGCCCTGATAGCCCCCCCCCCTCGAACACTAGAGAAGCCAACCCTACCCGATAACTACGACTCACTTAGCCCGGATCAGAAATTGGCGGTAGATGAAATATACCGAAGGAGAGCCCTACATTATATCTACATGGCATTTACAGGAGGCTTAAATGAGCCACATCTTGCAGGGATGACAGATCCCCGTGTCCTTGTAACACAACACCTTGTCGAGCGGGCTGAGAAGAAATGGAGCGGTGATATCTTTAGCTTAAAAGGTGCACTTATTCGAATAAAAGAGAACTGGGACTGTTTTAACGAAAGGCTACCAGAACCAATACCGTGTCCCATTTCCTTTCCCGAGTCTGAAATCACCGGATACTACGAGCAGGAGCAGACATGGTTTGAGATGAACCTTCTTGTCGAACACTGGAAATCGGAACTACAGGGTGTGAATGATGATGGATGGGTCAGGGCAGAAGCCTATGATGAGGCTGTGCAGAAGAATGCGGAGATAAAGCAGGGCTTGCTGAATGACTCGGATACAGAAGAGGAAAGGCAGTATGTTCTGCAGCAATGGCCTTCCCAAGACCATGAGGAAGATCCCAATTGATATCTTGCATGTTTTTTCAGAATGAGCAAGCAGCTAGAGATTATTTCCTCTCGATGTATATTAAATAGAGACTAGAAATGAGTATGGCTACATCTAGATAGCCATTTACCCAGTTGATAGTACAAAAACCATTTACAAACCGGCACCAGTCACTGGCGCCCAGCATATTGGGAGAGCGCACAAAAACTGCATAATTGACAGTTCAGTTATTGTTCCCAAATTCAACATTTAGCCATTAACCAGATAGAAATCGCCTTCTTCCTGTCTCTCTATCTGAAGCTACTCGTTATCACTTAAATTTATGCAATTAATACAGCTGACAAGTCGCGTGATCTTCTTAGCTATTATTCCTTGGAGCCATTATCTAGGTTGAGCAAGCAATAAGGCATCCAACCCATGCGAAACCTGTGTACAATTCAGCCATTCGTCAAGCTGGATATCTGAACCGAGACTTTCAATAGACTTATCTAATCTTCCAACTACTCGTTAAGGCCCTGGCTTAGAGAATACTCTGCTTCTCCCCTCGTACGGCTGCGGAATGAACTCGACTTTTAACATGATGAATGGATAAGTTGTAGTTGAGAGCGTACCTCGTACCTAGGCTTGTTGCCAACTGTAAATTTAACTTCCGTAAATAAGAAACTCCGAGCCGCTGAATTATATCAGCTGCTGGCGCTGGAAGTACCGAGGTACATTCCATTCAGAGAAGGGAAGAGGAGCTACAGATATGGAGTAATTTTTGGAAAGAGGACGGTCAACTATTAGACTACATAAATTCAGATGGTATTCGCCTTATACACCCAACCGAAACTGATCAACAGTGTATCTCCCTGCGTCTGTTTAGTGATATTAAGAGTTAATCTAATTTGCACTTATTGAACTCTCTTCACCCGATTCTGACAGCCTTTTAAATCTCAAGTATATCACTTCAAGGCCAATCCCCGACTCTAGGCTTGACAGCTTAAGGTGAGATAAGAAGGCTGGTGCGGGTTCAGGTTCAGCATGGATGAGAAGAAGGAAGACAAACATGAGAAGCCAGAGAAGGCGTCTTCTACCTCTTCTTCCATGGCTGGGAGGATACAGTCTTCGGCAGCAGGACTGTTGAAATCAGCCATTACGCCCTCCTCCTCTTCTTCCTCGACGTACGCAAGGGATGTATCTTCTTCTCTAGTGGGCCTTTCAAGTTCTGAAAAAGGCAGTGGTGCTTCTTCTTCCTCTTCGGCTTCGAGGCCAGTGGACGGCGGATTTCATCATGGACCATCATCCGTGCAGCCAGACTCGGCCTTTCGATCACAGCCGTCTCAGGAGATGCAGTCGAGCGTGATAGGTCAGGAGAGGGAGTTTCAGCAGGGAAGTTTACCTGTTGATGATACCGCTGCTGCTGCTACTAGTGTTGGTAATGCTATATCTACTTCCAGGGGTAAAGGGAAGGGCAGAGACATACAGCCTGAGACGGGAGATGAGAGGTTTGATTCTGCGTGGAAGACTGCTTCTACCTCTGCAGTTACGGAGCAGGAGCAGAGAGACGGCCAGGCTGTTTCGGATTTGCTGTCATCTACTACTACGTTCGACCCGTCAGCTCTACCGGACCTGGATGAAGACGAGCCAGAGGTAGATATGAGCTTCCTTATTACAAACCAGCATGGACAGCAGCAGCAACATGATATATCTTCGACATCGCTAATACCGGACATCGACTTTGTTCTTTCTTCCCTGCGTGGTATTCCGGCCCAGTCGCAGGCAGAGCATCTACGCGACCTGCCTGGTGTAGCGGAGTGGTTGGATCTAGACCAGGAGTATCAGGATGCGGTATGGGGTTATCTCAAGCCTCGCGTGGAAGAGGCCAGGAAGGAAGTCCAGGAGAAGCTTGAAAAGGGGGAAGAAGGAGATGGAGTTGGTGACGGGCCGGCTGTGGCGCGTTTGAGGATGGTGTTGGCGCATTTAAAAGAGAAGAAGAGCATATAAGGCTCTGTTTTTGGTAATTGCTAGGATATATATATATATATTTATTTATGGCATAGAGATGAAATATATTTAACTGGTTGATAGATCGGCCGTAAAAGTACATCTGTGATGTGGGATATAACAAACAAAACAGGAGAGACGGAAGACAGAAACAGGAGATGTAGATGGTGTGTATATAGTTTATACAGTTGTCTGAAGACTTTAGTATTCTAGGCTGGGGGTCTGTCCCTTGACACGGCCAATGACGACACCAGCAGCATACTTGGGGATAACCTCATCGTCATGAAGCATCTCAAATTCTATAGAAGACGCTGTTAGTTCTGATATCAAAAGAGCTATAAAGTAGGGGTGAAAGGGCTTACCTTCAGTGGCATCTCGGCCCATATGGCTGAACAGGGCCTGCGAACCACCAGGGTGCTCGTCCAACCAGTTCGTCACATCCATCACCACACCCTTAACCACGATCCAGAGGTCGTCCTTTTTATTGTGTTTCGCCACTTCCTCCATCGTGAACTCCTTCTCGGGCACCTTGAAGTTTGCTACATCAGCGGCGACTGGCTCAGGACCGGCAGAGGTGGCACCAGCGCCGGCTCCACTAGAGGCAGCAGGAGCAGACGACGACGACGTGGGGGCCGCCGACGTCGACACTGAGGTTGTGCTTGGGGCAGCGAGGGATTGGGTGGTGGAGGGCTTACCTGACGGGGCACTCCATTCGACAGATACCTTGCCGGGCTGGTTGGGGTCGATGTGCAGGGATATCTGGTTCAGGCGCTGTTGTGCACCGCCGCTGGCAGCAGAGGCAGGATCCTTGAGCAGCTTCTGGAACAGGTACTGGCTCGCAGAGTCACCGGCAACACGGCCGTAGACGACGCAGCCAAGTAGAGACGATCCACCGAGACGGTTGGCGCCGTGGACACCACCTGCAAGCTCACCACAGGCGAACAGGCCGTCGAAGGGCTTCTTCTCGCCGTTAAGTACCTGGGCCTTGTCGTTGATCTCGATACCGCCCATGGTGAAATGCAGGACGGGCTCCATCAGGGCAACGTAGAAGGTGTCGTCTACCTTCATGGGCAGGTTGTGGAAGAACTTCTTGCCCCATGGGTCGGGCTTTTTGCCCTCGCCAATGGCATTGTAGTCGTCGAAGGTCTTGCGCAGAGCAGCCTCGCCGCAGCCAATTTCTTTGGCAAGCTCGGCACCGGTCATCTTCTTCATCAGGCCACGGCCGGAGTAGTGGCGGGTGTGGAAGTCGAGGATGTTGGAGGCCTTGCTGTTAAGAACCAGGCGGATAGGCCACTTCTTCTTCTCCTTCTCCTTCCACATCTGGCCAGATACGTAGTCACGGTGGCCGAGCTCGTCGGCGAATCGTTCACCATCCGAGTTCAGCAGGATACCACCCTCACCACGGAGTGCTGAAACCAACAAAAGTTAGCATCTAGTTCGCGTATTTTGGTATAAATAATTGAAAGTAGAACATGATAAGACTTACCCTCAGCAGCAAGGAACTTCCACTTGGAGCCCGGGTCCTTGGGGTCGATGAGACCGGTAGGGTGGACCTGGACCTTGTCCATGTCGATGCCGTTGGCACCGATGGCCATGAGCATCTTCTGACCGTCACCAGTGGCGTGAACACCGTTGGTACTGGACAGGCCAATGGTGTCTGGTCGCCATTTCTTCAAGAGAGAGGTCTCGGTGAAATCGGCAGCGTAACCACCGGTAGCCAGGACGACAACACCCTCTTCAGTGTGGGTCTCGCCGTTGTACTCGTATGTGACACCGGTGACCTGGTTACCTTCCTTGTTGACGGCAACCACTCTGGCCTTCTTAAGCACCTTCATGCGCTCTGGGTCCTTCTCGGTGAGCTCCTCGAGCCGCTGCATCAGGGCGTAGGTGATGGCCATGCCGGGGAACTTGGCATCGTGGCCACGATGTGTTCGGGGGAACGAATGTCCACTATGTACTGTCAGTAATCCTTTCCTTTACTCCTTCTTTTTTCAGCGTGTATAGATAGACATACCCGAGTCTGGATACGAGGGTCAGGTCGAGGTTGAAGACATCTTGCAGCCACTCAACGGCGGAGGCCGACTTGTATGTGAGGACCTTGATGAGTTCAGGGCGAGCCTTGTCTCTGGCAGACTTGAGGGTGTCCTCGTAGAACTGCTTGACGCTGTCCTGAATACCGAGATCGACCTGGGTGCGGGTGAGGGCGCCGTTGATGCCGGAGGTGGCCTTGGTCGAGTTTCCTCCAAAGAAGTCTTGGTAACTTGGTCAGCAGTTGCACCACCACGAGCACTAACTAAAAGGACGAACTCACTCTGTTTATCCAAAAGCAAGACGTTGCCTCCGTTGAGGTAGACTGTGTGGGCAGCACTGAGGCCGGACACTGTGAAGTCGGTCAGTTCATCCTGTAGTTAACGGCAGCGCCTGGTGAGGGACAACGTACATCCACCACCAACAACAATAACCCTTGGAGCCATGGTGAATTATGAGAAGAGGGTTAAGTATCGAAGGGCTAAATGTGTACAGTACTATGAAGAGAAGGCGTTAAGTGGTAGAAGATGTAGAGGAGGTAGAGAAGTAGAAGAAGAGGAGGAAGAAGAAGTGAAGTTGATATCGAGGAAGATGAAAGGAGGAAAGCGACGCAGGAAGAGGCCGAAGCTCGAGCCGAGGTCCAGCCGGTGGAACTCTATCTTGGCCAATCAGAGACCCGCACATGTAAGCATAGCGCCGGAAGAACAACGGCCCGCAGCTACCCCGGACCGCCTTGGCGTAGACTTGGCGCCTTTTCCCCAGGATTTGGCGGGAGGAAAGACCCAAGCCTAAGACAGGAAGAAGCAGGAGAAGCAAGACGATGAGACACGACTAAGCGGTCAGCGTACGAGCGGGCAGGACAAGGGAGGACGGGCTGTCGCAGGCTTCATAGCTTCGCGCTCGCATGTGAAGGACTGGGATAGGATGAAGGGCAGAAGGGGAGCTCCGGATGGACGCATGTGATACTATTTAGATTGGAGGTCACGTGGATGTAACCTGATCAACACGCGAGACGAAACAAGACGAAGCAAGAGGAAGAAGAGGAAGAAGAGGAGGAGGAAGAAGATAACACAAGGCGGGAGCAGAGAGCAATAAGATGATACGCGACGGGCTGCAGGGCCACGGGTTGCCGGTGGTAGCACAGATGAAATAACTCGCGACGGGTATCAGCATACAGACATGTTGTCTATATGGGCAGCCGTCCACCTTCATCAATCACCATCTATCCAGCTCTCTATCGTCTATCTATCGTCTATCTATCTATCTCTACTCTACTTCTGCCTTCTTCTTCTCCTTCCAGTTTGGTTCCTGATTAATCATGTCTTTGTCATCAAGTCACGCGAGATGACGTCGACGCTCTATCACGTGATTTATTATACACGCTAGGCCCTTCCAAGACTAGCTCCGTCGGCAGAATCAAAGCCGCCCGGGCGCTTCTTGTCGCCTGCTTACATAACTCACCGCCTTTCCTTTCTCGTCCAGCTTTTTTTGTTTTATTTTTTTTTTTTTCTTCTTTTTCTCTTTGGTGACTTTTTTTGAGTTTTCTTCCGTTGCAAAAGAAGATCCAGCAGCCAAAGCAAGCAAACACCAACCATCATCTAAAACTACTCCAGCTTTTTTTTCCCCTTCAAGGCTCAACCCGAACACCACAAGCCAGAAGCAACAGCCGCCCGCCCTCCCTCAGCCCGCAAGTCGAACAGCTCCGACAGCTCTCCCCGTTGCGTTGCCCATCCTGCTGTCTGCCCGGCGCTCCAATCTAGCGCCTCGTCCCATGTTCAGCGCCGCAGCTCGCCCCTGAAAGCGACCCTCCCTCCGCTCGTTTTGAGCTGGCCCAGGCCAGTTTCTCTCCTCCAGCCCGCTGCTGGTCGAGCTGCGTTCCGGTTGACGGCGTACCAAGGACCTACAACTGCATCGTGTTGCTCCTGTTGACGCTGGGTCAGGGTCTTGCTGCTCGGCGTGCTGAACCGTATGAATCCGTCGGGTAAAGATGGGTGGCATCCGGGTGCTGGCCCGCAGCCTCACCATGTAGACCAGATGGGCCAGCAGTCAGCGCGGCCAGTCGGTGCCTTTGGGTAATCTCTCCCCTTTCTCCTGCATGACCCGATCATAGAGTCTGCGGTGGCTTCCTGCTGGTGCTCTGTCGGTTTTGGTAATGGTTCGATTGAGCTGACGGCGTTTTGCGCATTGCAAAAAAAAATAAAAATAGGCAAAACACTCCCTTGGATGACCAGGCGTCGAAACAGCCGTCGCGTACTCTGCCTCCGCCGCAAGGTACGATCGCTACAGCACTCCTCTACCTTGCTATTGACGACTAACGATGCCCTCCGTAGGCCCATATCACTCCGCGAGCCAGTCAACTCACTCTCTACCCACTCTCGCAGACCTCACCCAGGGTGCCTCTGTTGCTCCTCCAGCGCCTCCTCAGTCACACCAACAGCAGCAACAGCAACAGCAGCAGCAGCAGCAGCAACAGCAGCAACAGGCTTCTCGTTATGGCCAGCACCAGCAGCAACCCCTCGGACGGGGTCATGCATTGCCCGGTATCGGCCAGACCATCCAGCACACCTCACCTCCATCGTCGATAAGTCATGACCGTGAGCGTGAACGTGAACGTGACCGAAGACCTCGCCAGAGGGAGATGGAAATGCTTGAACTCGAACGAGAGATGGAACGAGAAAATGAGATGCGAGAGCGAGAGCGTGAGATGGCTGACAGGTACCACCGTGAGCAGCAGCACCAGCAGCACCAGGCACAGGCACAGGCGCAGGCACAGGCACAGCAGCAGCAACAGCAGCCGCACCCAGTCCAAAGCCATACGGGATCCATCCCCATCCACCAACCAGTTGCTTCAAAGGTACCAAGCTCGATCCACGGACCCAATGGCCTGCTCTCAAACCTGGGTACGGCCACTAACGCGCCACAGCCGTCCATTCAGGCTTCGAACCCACCTTCCAACCTGTTTGGCAGCTCCATGCAACACAGCGAGGGACCACCACGCCAGTACCTCCAGCCCTCCCAGCCAGTCCTCGCTTTTAACTCGGGCCCTTCTCAAGTCCCGGGTAGCGTTGCTGCTCTGGCACAGGGTCAACAACCTATATTAAACGTAAGTTTGCCTCTTCCTTCCACCTCGTTTCCCTCAGCAAGTAGAGAGAGAGAGAGAGAGAGAAAAGGACTATGTTGGTGTGAATGAAATACGCACAATGAAAATGGGGTGTTACTCCCAGCAGCCGTCCAAGCTGATTGGAAGTACTGGATAATGGAATATTCCGTGCATTTCATTCACCGTGCTGAGAATGACTCTATGGTTGGACCGACTTCACTTGCTCACACCTCACGTACCATTTATGCACTGTTTTCCTACCTTCATATTTTGTAGCCCACTTTTCCTGTTGGACGTTCAATTCTCATACCGAAGCACTTTATCGATGTCAATGATTCTACTCAATCTGAATCCTTGCTAATGGCGCCTACGAAACAGGATGCGCTCAGCTATCTGGACCAGGTCAAGGTCCGCTTCGTCGAGCAGCCAGAAGTCTACAACCGGTTCCTTGATATCATGAAGGATTTTAAAAGTCAAGCGTGCGTCACATGTAGGCTACATTGGCCATATATATACAAAACTAACATTCTGCAGTATCGATACACCAGGCGTTATCCAGCGCGTTTCGACCCTCTTCAACGGCCATCCTGCTCTGATTCAAGGCTTCAACACCTTCCTCCCCCCTGGATACCGCATAGAATGCGGAACAGACGATAACCCAGATGCGATTCGCGTCACCACTCCTTCAGGTACAAACACTATCTCAATGCAGTCGGGCGCTAGACCTCCGTTAGGCGCACCCGAAGGAACCGGCCCTGCAGTACCATCTGCCCCCGCTTCACGCCCGGAATACTACGACCAGCCTCGCAGCGCATGGCAACATGGTCATTCCCAGCAACAGGCACAGCCTGGCCATCCAGCAGGTGCACCTGGCTCATACTCGCCGAAGTCTCAGCACATGACGGCCGGAATGTACGGGCAACAACAGCAGTCTAGACACAACCCATCTCAGGACACACAGTATGATTACCAGGCTCAGCATGAGCAGCAGCAGGCGTCCAATGAGGCTGCTTCAATGGTTCATCAACAGGAACAACGAGGAGTTTCACAGCTGCAAAATGCCGTATCGGTTGCCTCTAGTGCTGGCCGGCAGCAAATAATGCAGCTCCCACCTGGTTCGCATACCCCTGGCCCTACACAGCCTATGGGCTCTATGGCCGGTGGTATGGGCCCGTCAGGTGTTATGCCCGGTCAGGTTGATGTATCGAAGCGTGGGCCCGTTGAGTTCAACCATGCAATTAGTTACGTCAATAAAATCAAGGTATAATCCTGCTAAATCATTTACTTACGTTAACGAGCTTGATTTCACTAACAGTTCATCTTCCTTAGAACCGCTTCTCTGACTCTCCTGAGATATACAAGCAATTCCTCGAAATCTTGCAAACCTACCAACGCGAGTCTAAGCCCATACAAGACGTTTACACCCAGGTCACTCATCTTTTTGGCGCTGCTCCTGATCTTCTGGAAGACTTTAAACAGTTCCTACCTGAGTCTGCTGCACAGGCCAAAGCTCAAGCTACACCCTCAGCTCGCCAATCGCAGGAGGAAGTTCCCATAATCAGCAATGTACGTGGAGAACCTGGCTACGGTTCTGCAGGACTGCCACAACCTCAAATGACTAGAGGTGACGTGAATATGCCGCCGATAGGACAGTTCAACGTCAAAGATTCAACCAAGGATAACAAGAAACGACGTGGCGCTCCAGGTGCTCAGGCCGTCGGTGGAGGAATGCCTGGCATGCAACCAGCAGTTGGTGACATGAATGGCGGCCAGATGAACAAGACTGCCGCTCAGCAGATCGGCATGAACAAGCGAACGAAATTGAGCCATAAACCATCTGCCACAGATGCTCACCAGCCAAATATCTCGCCGACATTGGTCCCAGCATTGCCTGAGCCGATTCCTCCAAGCTTCTCTCTCACTCCCTCCCACGAAGAATATGCCTTCTTTGATCGTGTGAAGAAGTTCATCGGCAACAAACAAACATTCGGAGAATTCCTCAAGCTCTGCAACCTTTACTCTGCAGACCTAATTGACCGCAATGTCCTCGTTAACCGTGCCGCCGGCTTCATTGGCGCAAACCAGGAAATCATGTCCTGGTTTAAACGCTTCATGCACATCGAGCCAAAGGACGAGCTCATCGAGCCCAAGGCCAAACCCGACTCGGGATCTGTCAATCTCTCTCACTGCCGTGCCTTGGGACCAAGTTACCGTCTTCTACCTAAGCGTGAACGCCAAAAGGCATGCAGTGGCCGTGACGAGCTATGCAAGAGCGTGTTGAACGACGACTGGGCCTCTCATCCAACTTGGGCTTCTGAGGATTCTGGCTTCGTTGCGCACCGCAAGAACCAGTACGAAGATGCTCTGCACCGTATAGAAGAAGACCGCCATGATTATGATCACCATATCGAAGCTTGTATTAGAACCATCCAGCTTCTGGAACCCCTGGTGCAGCAGATCTCACTTATGAGTGACAGCGATAGATCGTCGTTTAAGCTGCCACCTGGACTTGGAGGACAGAGCGAAACCATCTACAGACGGGTCATCAAAAAGATATATGATCGTGAGCCCGGTCAGAGAGTCATTGAAGAGATGTTTACCCGGCCATGCCTCGTGCTACCGATCGTGCTTGCCAGGCTGAAGCAGAAATGCGAAGAGTGGAAAGCGACACAGGTACGGATCTTCCTTTCTCTTATTAGAATAACTATGGTATACATGTCGATACTGACCAAACACAGCGTGAATGGGACAAAGTATGGCGGGAACAGATGCAGAAGGGTTTCTGGCGCAGTTTAGATCACCAAGCCATCATCATGAAAGGCAACGATAAGAAGGTCTTCTTGAGCAAGCATATCCAGCATGAGATTCAGACCAAGTTCGAAGAAGGTCGGAATCGTCGTAGGACTGGCGTCCATGTCTCCAACTACCAGCTTGACCTCGCCTTCGAGGACTCTGAAGTTGTACTGGATGCCACTCACCTGCTACTCTGCTATCTTGATCACAGCTCTGCTGGCTTTGGTGCTGATCCGCAGCGAGTTATGGCTTTTATTAAGGACTTCATTCCCGTCTTTTTCGGCATAGATCGGGAAGCTTTCAAGAACTATCTGTCAGAGGTATATGACAGTGCGTCAGCAAGTGAGGATGCTGACGACGATAGCTCACCGGACGAGGCTCCCATACGACCAAAGCGCATCACAAGTGGGAAGAAATTCGAGCTTTTGCGTGAGGTTCTCAACAGACGTCCAGATAGGTCTAACAGACCTGAGCTTGACCTCAGGGCCGGATCCACCGCAGCCAGTCGCGCGTCAACTCCTCTATCAATGAACGAGTGCACACCCGCGCCTCGTTCAACTGATAACTTTGATATTGCCGAGCTTCGATGGATGGACCATCCTACTCGCGGAAATTTCCATCACAAACGCGAATACCCGCTCAACGAACCCTACAAGAAGAAAGTCCACCACTTCTACTGCAACCTCACCATCTACTGCTTCCTATACACCTTTGAAATCCTCTACCGTCGGCTGTTGAATGTGAAGCAGTATGAGAAGGAAGCCCACGAAGCAGTTCGTCGTGCCATGGCACCCAAGGCCGCCCTGGAACTAGGCATGATTGACAAGACGCCTTCTGACCTTCTTTATGACACCGATCCAAAGGCAAACCTCTACCACCAAGTCATTCGCATGTGCGAAGAGGCTATTACAGGCAACCTAGCCTCCAGAAGACCGTTTTCCCCTGCGCCGCTTCTACATGAGGAATGGATGGCAGCTCTATCAGCTTGATAGAATCATGGGCGGTATCGCGAAGTATGCTGCTGGTGTGTTCAATGGTGATGTCAAGGACCGAAGCTCAGATGTTATCAACATGTTTTACAAAGAGCGGGAGAAGGAGGAGACAACCCATAACCAGGAGCTCCAGTACCGCAAACAGGTGGAGCGATTGATCAAGGAAGGAGATATCTATCGTGTCACTTTTGTAAGGGTCTCCGAATTCTGCTTTCTATCTTGATCCTATGCTAACATGTTACATTTCAGGTCCCGGCTTCAAAACACGTTTTGATCCAGCTTCTAACGCCTGATCAGAGTACACTAGAAAGCGACGGCCTCGGCCATGAAGCCCGATGGTCCTACTACGTCTCTGCCTATACGATGCGCGATCCCACTGAAGGAGTTCTCTTCTCAGACATGCGCATGCCGTTCCTAAAACGCAACTTGCCTCCAAAGATGGACTCAGATGAAGAATACAACAACTTCTACAAACCTCTAGTCCATCATGACGGCCTAGTTATACGCATTTGCGCCAACAGCTATAATATCCTGTATGAGCCAGGCACACGGGACTGGTGGTATCGCCATGAGACCAACAAGCAAACCCAAGCTCCCGAGAACATGAGGGAATACGCAAGCTTGAAGGAGAAGCGCAGAGATCGGTTCAGAGGGAAGTTTGTGAATAATCCTGCGTGGGCCCGTGGGCTGAGCAAAGATGAGGTCGACAAGTCAAACCAGCAGTTCAGGACCTGGGTTGGCGCCGTTGCGGAGGACGCTACGCCAGCTGTGGCCACTTCTGAGACTGCAGCGGAGCCTAAATCTGACGACAAGGCTGTGACATCTGCTGGCCGTGAGAAAGACGCCCCTGCCCCTGAAGTGAAGGGCGAAGAACCGGCGGACGAGGACCAGGAGATGGGCGGCGTCGATGCTGACTCTTCCAAGTAACTGCATCGGGCCTGATTGATATGTTTAACGTTCCCATCCTATTTTCTCTGTTTCTCTTGACTATCTCTCTACTGTATGCATATTCGGGGAGTTAACAATTTCACCAAGGCAGGCCTCCTGGCGCCGGCGCCCTTCCTTTTGATCGAGACGAAAAAGATAACTGAGCAAGCTCTTCGCTTGTCTGTTTATTTTCTCTCTCGAACGTACGTACATTTACTTAACTAACTACCTGGCTGGTAAGCATGGATGGATATTGTATCTGGCGTGGCATCGTTGCCTTTCTTTTGCTACTCTATCTTGCTTCGGTTTCTGTCTTAATGCCCCTTTTTGATTATCTCCATGTCTTGTTTCTATTATGCTTAACTAACTATGTACTATTGTTTATGCTGTAATTGATATATTTCGTGCCAACTACTGCGTGCGTCCCGTTAGATATAAGGTTGAATTTTTTATGTATGTAGACGATGTTTGGTGACGTTGGCTGTAGTTTAAACCAACGACATAAGTATCAGCATCAGAATCAGCATTAGCAAAACCGTCTTTCATTTAAACGCTATGAAAAATCACGGAATAGCTCAGCATCACGAATGATATACGGAGTACCTATACCTATAACTATAGATAGGCACCGATGGGAAGCCTCTTTCGTGAATGACAGCAGAGATCGAACGTATCCAACAGACACCCGCCCGGCCGCTTCAAGAACCTACCAACAGCGAACACATAATCAAGTCCACGGCGCCTTGCAGCCTATTACGCCCTGAGAGTGATTATACACGAGGCTGTTGATATAAAACTGGACAGTGGCCTCTCCCTATATTACGACGGGTCATGGATAAGCCTGATACTGAGGTATCTCGATGGCCCCGAGCCCCCGAATCTCATCGGAACGTGGTGGTTAGGCATGACGCTCGCCTTGCATAAATATGCAGGCTGGAACAGACGTGTTCCCATAAGATAATTACGTCGAGAGCGTTACCAGCTTGGTACATGATGGTAGAGTGCCTGGTTGACCCAAAAGAACCTTCAGCAGTGATACTTTTCCACCACCATAGCCCAGCGAATAACGTGCACATCAAAGCGAGTACGACGACTCTGTTATGCTGACGAGTCAGCTCACATCGCAGGTTGTAACACTGATACGCAGCGTTCGATGTTGGTCTGTTCCATGCAGATTCTGAAAACTTCCACAAGTGCCAACAGTTAATACTCCGTCATATTGTGGTTAATCTCCGATCAGGTCACCAGCAGGAGGGATCTGTGTATCATCTATACAGAGGAGGCTGCCTTTTGAAAAAATTTACTGCATCGTACCAAGAAGCGATGACGAGAAAGAAATGCTCAGCATTGATATACGCTGTTCGGTCAAATCAAGCATTACGGAAGAAAATTCTCTCTTGTAACTTCGGCACCCTCCCGCGGCACACGAGATGTTTCCATGCATTCCGATCCGATTAGCGGTAGATGTGATTGGGAGAATCAGGGGCTGTCTTCGGCGCACACACCAGCATCACCAAGCATATGATGCGATCTTGCACATCGACATGTGTTTGGTGGAGTTGGGGAACCTTCTTGCTGGACAGCAAACATCCGGCTTAAGCACCCAACGAGGAGAGATCAGCGAGTCTTCATACCAAGTATGGACCGTCAGTCTCTACTCCGTATACGGCGAGCTACCATAGCAAACCTCCTGTGCTATGGCTTGGGTTCAAGTGATGGCGGTGGCCAACAACGCCTACACATGCCTGTACGGAGTACATCCCTAATTTGCCAGCAAGCCAACGAGGGGCGGAGGGGTAGCAATGAGAAGATGGCGCAAGAGCCGCAAGAAATGGCTGCGGAAAAGAAAAGAGCAGAAGAAAAGAAAACGAGGGCTTTAGGATGCATCAAAATTTCGACCAGAGGCGCCCAAAACAAAGGTGAGGGAGAGCAGAGCAAGATGGCAGCTGCGAGTGACAACGCCACGTCGAGCAGAGAAATACGGCTACGAGCAGCGAATGGCATTTCGAATTGGGCGAGAAAGGGGGCCAATGAGCCCATGAGGCTTTTCCAAGAGCCTTCGCGAGACGCCACGGGGTGCGAGGGATGAGGGCATCTCCGTGGTAATTTAGGGTAAAAATAGCGCTGGACACGAGGCGGACCCTCTTGTTGACTGACCGGCTCTGCAACGCTACTCCCAGATAGGGCAGGCCGGCGAAAGCCCTAGCAAGGGAGCCCGCAGAAACGAGGAACAAGGCAATCCTTCCTCTGCCTCTGCTCCCTTACCCCTTGGTGAAACGCAGGAACGGCGGATATACTTCGACGGAGCGATTTTATCCTTCACCCGCCAATACAAACATCCTGGGACCAAGACACCATAACCGGATATCATATCGGACTATTGAACGGGATACAAGACATCAAGACCTGCCGAGGGGCATAAGAGCGAGCTTCTTATATTCGGAGTCAAGTCGCTCTGATAACTATATCGCCTCGACAGCTATTGTGGTGGCTCGTTCTCAGCGGTTGGCCCTGACTCGCATATCAATCTCCCCCAAGGCGTATCGCCCGTTACCGTACCTTCGTTGCCAGCTGGCTCTGCCCCTGCCGAGCACCTTCCAGCAGCCAATGAGAGCAGCGAGGGACCTGGGCTCACCGCCACCCAAAGCGGCAGCTCTGACGATCATCTTATCGTATACTTCGGTATTGGCGAATACATGCAATAAATATTGTAATACACCATCAACAGGAGGAGACGAGGCGGCAGCGCTGGAGTGAGCAAGTCTGGGGGGAACAAGGAGAACAGGACGAAGACGAAGACAGGAAGAACGTCAAGGAGATGGCGGCCGTTGGAGACGCGAAGCAGCAGGAATTTAGAGGGAGGGCGGCCCATGACAGCCTGCTTAGCGGCTGGGGGTGTCTTCGTCTGCTACCAATAATCGGTCTAAATATACTGGCGCAGGGCCCGCCAAGGGGTTGAACGCTTGAAGTTGCAATTTCCGCACACGGTGCGACGCCCCCTTTTTCCCACCCGGCAGCGCCCTTGTCCCCGGCGAAGGGAGTACTTAATATAACACTCCAGGCATGGCCCTTTCATTTCTCTCTGCTTCATATCTCCCGGTCTTCTGTTCCTGGGGTTTTGTTCCTACCACCGCTTCACTCTTTCAGCGGGCATTCTTTAACGACTTTACAACGCTCCTCTCGTCGTCGGTTTCTTCCTGCCCACTGTTAGCTAGAGAAAAAAACAACGATTGAACGCCTCGTCGCCGCCACCGGAGAAGAATCGATAGAGGAGAGATGAAGGCTTCCTTGTTTGTTGCGGCCGCTGGCCTGCTCGGCTCAGCCTGCGCCAGTCCTCATGCCCACGGCCATGCCAAATTCCACCGCCGTGGTGTTCCAGCTCCTCAGGATACCTGCTCCTGCGTAACCAAGGTCGTTACCTTCTACGGCCCTCCAACTCGTATGTTTTTTTCCCCCGGATGAATGAATGAATGAATGATTATGAGCATGATTGGTCCTCTCTCTATACCAAAAGTATAGATTGTATCGATCGCAAAGACCACATAGATCGCCTGCTAACTATGGTTGATATCAAGTTGTTCCTGAGGCACCGGCATCAGCACCACCAGTTGAGGCGACCACCACTGTTAAGTCCACCAGCTACACCACCCTGACTGTCGATGTGACTGTCCCTGCTCCAGAGGCACCCACGCCTACTCCTGAGCAGCCCAAGCCTTCTGAGGAGCCTCAGCTTCCCACTCAAGTTATCACCGTCTACCCAACTCCGGGAACCTACACCGTTCCCCCAACCACCTACACTGTCCCTAGTTCGACCACCGTATGCGGTCCTACTCCCAGCGGGCCAGCCGGCCCTGGCAGTGACGCCTGCCCTGCTCCCACCGTTATCGCTCCAGGCACTTACACCCAGACTGGCACGATTGTGACCGTCACTGTCACCAGCCAGACTGTCGTCTGCCCTGCGCCAACTGGCGGTCACCCAGCACCACCAGCACCACCACCAGTCAAGGCTCCTGTTACTACTCCTGCCCAGCCAACCCAGGCTCCTGAGACCCCAACCAAGGCTCCTGAACCACCAAAGGCCCCAGAGCCACCAAAGGCTCCATCCCCTCCTAAGGCTCCATCCCCACCCAAGACTCCAGGCGGTGGCCTCGGTGGTGGAAAGACTGGTGGTATGACCTACTCTCCTTACACCGACGACGGCCAGTGCAAGGGTGCCGATGCTGTTATGAAGGATATCGCCGTCATCAAGGCTGCCGGCTTCAGCGCCGTCCGTATCTACTCCTCTGACTGCGACGGCCTTAAGAACGTCGGTGATGCCTGCCGAACCCACGGCCTCAAGATGCTCATCGGTGTCTTCATCTCTGGCACTGGTATTTCCGGAGCCCAGAAGCAAGTCACCGATATCACCAGCTGGAAGCAGTGGGACCTGGTCACCCTCATTGTTGTCGGTAACGAGGGTATTCACTCCGGCCACACCGATGCCGGTGGTCTCGCTGGTTTCATCGTCTCAGCTAAGGCCGCTTTCAAGGCTGCCGGCTACGGTGGCATGGTCACCACTACCGAGACCGTCGATATCTGGCAGAGCCACGGCTCTACTCTCTGCGGTGCCGTCGACATCATTGGTGCCAACATCCACTGCTTCTTCAACCCAGATGTCGTCGCCAGCGAGTGCGGCAAGTTCGTCCGCGGCCAGATCGAGCTTCTCGGCAAGATCTGCCCTGGCAAGGACGTTATCAACCTCGAGACTGGCTTCCCTACCAAGGGTAACCCCAATAACCTCGCTGTGCCTGGTATCAGCCAGCAGAAGGAGGCCATCGACTCGCTTGTTAAGGAAGTCGGACCTCAGTCTATCTTCTTCTCCTTCGTCGATGACCCATGGAAGGATGATGGTGCTTTCGGCATCGAGAAGCACTGGGGATGTATCAAGGCCTTCCAGTAAATGTAAAGTTAGCGTCTAGCTAGGTCTTATGCATTTCACTTTAATTCCGTTTCACTTTTATCCCCCTTTTTTTGAGAGTTTCTGTTCAAGTTGCTTCTCCATCGCTCGAGTGCGAGGCATGACATATCTCCTTGCCGTCTCCCGTCTTCCATGTCTTGTTTCTCTTCTTTCTTCTCTTGTTCAAATGCCCTGGCCGTGTGTGGGATTAGTTTTACGTTTGGAGTGAGTTGGATCGGAGGGAGTTGTATTTTGTATACGCATCAGCCGTATTCACTTTTAATCCATGTCAAGAATTTCCTTTTCTCGAGTCCTTATCTAAAGAAACAAAAACTACCTAGAGAGGTCTTTCTCCCTGGTCTTTCAAATCTGAGTGACCAACTTACATTTCTGACAGCCAGTGGACGGAGTACGACCAGCAACGAGTGACCGACGGCGCCTACGCTTGACACGTTGACTTTCAACCGACGGAGCAACTCGAGTCCGTCGGATCTGCGGGTCGACCGGTTCTTCCGCGTTCATCGTGCTTAGCTGCTTAGCTTCGTCGTTTACTTTGCTGCCTGGTTGGTATCCGCTGCTGACGGCGTGCGGCGCAGACGATGAAGGCCCATTATCGTATTGCTTGCGAGCTGCATCATCGTGCATGCTTAATGTTATGCTCCATTTTTACCATCCCTACGAGATTAGGCTAGTCAAACTGTTTGTGATAACGTCCTTTTGGGCCCTTGTGGATCTGTCTACGATGGAGTCACTGCTATTGGGCCGGACGGGATGGAGCAACGGATCTCTCCTGGCTCGACTGATACGCCCGTTTGATCTTTTTCGTCGGCGGGCCGGTCATTCTCGGCTCCCTGATGGCATTTCTAGATATTGGACATTATTATATATATAGATCGGTCTATATATCTGATACGGAGATGTCTGTTTTTACCTGGCAACCAAATATCCCCCCTCTACCAAAGCAGATATCAATTAGGCCAGCATGAACACCGCAGCCGAAGACGGCCAGAATGGCCAACAACAGTCAGGTAGCTCGTCTTCTGCCAGCTCGCACAAAGAGCTGGGGGAATTCCGTCCCTCGAAGCGTACATGGCTTATCTTCCTGACGCTGGCTGTGTTGACGTTGATGGTGGCCCTCGACGGGACATCTATATCTGTTGCTTTGCCTGTATGCGACTCTTCTCTGCGGTGGACCATAACATACCCGCCCATCATACAAGATGAATAGCTGACCAATGCTAGATAATTGCTTCTAAACTACATGGTTCTGCCATTGAGGCCTTCTGGAGCGGAACCTCGTTCCTACTCTGTTCAACAGGTTGGTTGGACTCTATGTTCGACATTAAACATGGTATTTATGCTAATAACCACCGACAGTCTTCCAGCCTAGCTTTGCGTCGTTTTCAGATATCTTCGGCCGCAAACCTATGATCCTCATTGCCCTGACATTCTTCTTCGTCGGCACGCTTCTCTCTGGCTTATCAGAAAACTTCACGCAAATGCTGGTCGGCCGCTCCATCCAGGGCGTCGGAGGAGGCGGAATCATCGCCCTTACAGAAATCGTGATGACTGACCTGATCCCAATGCGTGAGCGAGGAAAGTACTTTGGCATTCTGAGCTCCATGTGGAGTTTGGGATCAGTCCTAGGCCCTGTGTTGGGCGGCGGATTCTCGCAGAACGTCTCCTGGCGATGGATCTTTTATATCAACTTCCCCTTCGTGGGCATTGGTTTGGTGTTTATCATCCTGTTCTTCAAGCTTACCCCTATTCCGGACTCGTTGGCCACGAAGCTCCGGAGGATAGACTACATCGGTGCGGTGCTGTTCATTGCCTCTGCCGTCTCCTTCCTCATCCCCATCACTTGGGGAGGAGTCATGTACGACTGGAGCTCCTGGCGGACGCTGGTGCCACTGATACTGGGCATTGCAGGACTGGTCGGAAACATGCTCTACGAGACTTGCGTTGCTGCTGAGCCAATGATACCCGTAACTGTCTTCGCTACTCGGACCGCCATCGTGTCGTACATCGAGACGGTAATTCACGGTCTCGTCCTCTGGTGCGGCCTGTACTATATGCCTCTCTACTTCGAGACAGTCAAGGAATACTCGCCCATTCTTTCAGGCGTGGCTCTCTTCCCGCTCAGCTTTACTGTCGCCCCCAGTGCTGTGGTAGTAGGCATCGTCACCACTCTAACGGGTGGATACCGCTGGTCGATCGAAGGCAGCTTCTTCCTCAGCACTCGGGGAATGGGCCTCTTCACCATCTTGAAGGTAGACAGCAGTGTTCCAGCAGGGATCTTCCTCATCATACCCGCCGGCGTCGGATTAGGTATGCTTTTCCCCGACCTAGGTTTCCCCATCCAAGCCTCTGCACTCAAGGGCCATATGTCCATCGCCGTAGCGATGTTCAGCTTCTTCCGTGCCTTCGGTCAGGCCCTGGGTGTAGCTATTGGCGGCGTCATCTTCCAGAACCGCATGGTGCCAAGCTGAGGAAGTATCCTGAGTTTTCGGCACCGGGCATTGCAGAGACTCTGAGCAAGGATGCCGCGGTGTTGGTGCAAGTTGTTCGAGGCATGCAAGATGGGCCGGAGAAGATGCACTTGAAGGAGGCGTTTACGGGCAGTCTGAGGTTTGTCTGGATCGTCTGCTGCGTGCTACTGGCTATTGGAGGACTGTTGAGTGTGTTTACTGCTTCGTATGATTTGAATCAGGGGATTGATTCGGAGCAGACACTGGCTGAGAAGAAGGACCGCCACTCGACGGCTGAGACGGGCGTGACTACACCTGAGAAGGCCTGATCTTAATGACTCTCTCTTACATTTCTTTTTCCTTCTTGATACGATCATCGGTATGGTTATGGATATGGCTATGGGTTGTGGTTGTTTTGATGATAGAGATGGCGTTGATAATAAGGGATGGACATAGTAACTTGATAATATGTAAATAATATAATGAAGAAACTCTCGATTCAAAATAAAGTATCAGCTGCTGTTTATTTCCGCATCACAAATGAAAAGAAGAAGAAAAGCCAGTTCATGTCCGAAGTCAATGCCCGAAGTCAATTGCTTAAGTCAACCCGGTGTTCAAGCAGGCAGAGAGCGAGAGGTTAAGTGGGATAGAAGTAGAGCTAGTATGCAAAAGAATGGGACAAGCAAGGCCCAGCGTAGGACAGAAAGTGTATATGCAAGGAGTGGGAAACAATAAAAGAGAAAATCCAAGCAAAATAAAGTAAAGTGAAATGAAGTGAAGTTGAAAGCAAAGAAAAGAGCCTGTCCAAGGCGTATGTATGGTATGATGGCTGATGTATATATCGATGACAAGACCAACCGTACAAAATGCATGCATGTAGGTGTATATGTTTGAGGGTGAGGGTGAGGGTGAGTATGAGTATGATAGGGTGTAGGTGGTATTAAGCTATTACGCAGGAGAAGTCATTATCCTGGATGGGAAGTAAAAGAAAGGGAACAGATGGAAGAAAGAGATGCAGATGCGCGCTGGGAAGTAGAAGTAGTGGTAGAAGGAGCCGGAGTGGAGGATGAGAAAGCAAGAGTTTTAGAAGAGACCGAATCGTTTTCCTTTTGGTTTATCCCCTGATCGATAGCTTGTTAGTATATGCATTGAATAGGAAGAAAAGGGGAGAGTGTACCATTTTTCGTGAGACGACGGGAGGCGGCAGAGGAAGGGTCTGCGCCTGAAGCAGCAGCTCTGATGGCAGCTATACGGTGCTTTGCCCTCTCGTCACCGTGGTCGGCGGCGCGGACGTACCATACGTTGGCTTCGAGGGGGTCACGACGGCATCCGATGCCCATCTCGGTGAAGTAGCCAACTGCGTATTCAGCTTTGGCGAGGCCTGCAAACGAACAAGGGGGGAATGCTTGTTAATATCACGGAAGTAATATACATATACAATGAACAAGGGGGGTAAGTAAGTAAGAAAGGAAACAACAACATACCACACTCAGCAGCCCGTCTGGCCCATTCATACGACTCGTTCTCGTCCTTTTCGAGGATGGGTTCAGCGCCGACCATGAACCACGCACACAGGGCCATCATGGCCATGGGGTGTCCGAGCTGCGCAGCTCCGGTGTAGAAATGGACACTCAATGCCGGGTCTCGAGGACAGTTGAGCTTTCCATGCTCGTAGGCATCGCCCATACGGTAGCTGGCCTCTGCATGGCCGAGTTCCGCGCTCTTGGTGAAGAGCTGAGCGGCGTAGGATTCGTCCTGGAAGACATCGTCTCCGTATCCGACCTCATGCAGCAGTCCGAGCTCGTAGGGAGCAGCATTGTACTGGACGTCCGCCGACTCAGCAGCTCGCTTGAGCCAGGTGATGCCCTCGCGATATCTCTTGACCAGCCCCATGTCTCCAGCCAAACATGCCCTTCCGAGCCTTGCCATGGCGCCCGGGTGGTTTTTAGAGGCAGCCTGGCGGTAGAACTGGACTGCCTTGGCGCCGTCCTGCTTTGTGCCCCAGCCGAACTCGTAGCAGAGGGCAGCGCGGTATCCGGCTTCGGCGTGGCCATGTTTGCTTGCGGCGACGAAAAGTTGGAAGGCCTTGTCGTGGTCTGGTTTGCCCTTGTTGAAGAGGCCGGATGCCAGCCCGTCGCCGAGGTAGTACTGGGCGTAAGGGTAGCTTCTGTCCGCCAGACGCTGCAGGATGCCCTTTGCTTCCCGGAGGAGCTCTGCTTTTGAAGTTTCACTCTTCCCTACCTTTTCGTTGCTACTGTTGTTGCTGCTGTTGTTATTGGTGTTGTCGTTGTTGTTGTCGTCCAGGTCGATATCTTGGGCTGCGTGGATCATGAAGACGGCAAACTCGTACTGGGCGCCGGAGTCGTTGGTCTTCTTGACATTGGCCAGGTACATGTCAAAGGGTCTGTTTCTGGGAGAGCAGGGAGGCATTGTTGCCCACGGAGGAG